GGCCTGTATAAGAGACTACAGGAAAACATTCTGAAAAATATGAATGATAATCACAAATTTAACTTGAAATAAATAGATATGAAAACAAACAGGAAGCAGAGCATAATTAAAGTTTAGTTGCCTATGAGCAGATAAGTAGCAGTTTTCAACAGTAAGTATTACATTTTATTTAGACTTGAGCTGTTTTGGGTGTCAAGGAATGTGCAAGAAAAATACTTGGTTTACAAAAGTATGAATTAAAATCTATAAATGTCATGATTACTTTTACATTTAAAACCAAAAAGCAGCAGTGGATGACATGACCTAAATTAAATAAACCAAGTTTCCATACATTTTGAATTATGATTGAAGTTATGTATACATTTATTTTTTTGTTTTGATAGTGATACATTAAATTTAGAAAAAAATTTATTTTGTTATTCATAAAATTGAAATATTCTGCTGAATGAATCTACCTTTTTGCCGTCTTCTTTTTTATAGAGTAACATTTAAGACGCATTGATATTTGCTTTGGTTTATATGTTCAGATATGTTCTGTGAAGTCATCTGCTTAACAGACATGCTGCTCATGGCCTGTAGAAGCGTCACATGATTTATATAGCTGGAATTATTTCCAAACAAATGAATGTGCGTTTTTTGGGAAAGAAGAAACATTTCAGCAGCCTTCACCCAATCAGCTATAAAATAGTGTGCAACAACAGGTGGGATAGAATCAGCACTGGACCAGTATGACAAATATTGCTGGTTTGAAACCTTTTAAAATCTCGGAACCAGGAAGCCAGCGGTACCAACTTCAAATCTGTTTGAGATAAAGGTTTTGAAGATAAAAGATTGGACTTTTGTTTCCAATCTCAATTCAGGATCAGCTTAAAGAGAGAGGCATCAGGCAGTTTGATCAAGTTTGGTGAGTTGTTTCTATTAACCTACATATTAATGAATGGTAATGCTTGGTCAGACACAGCTGACTGGATTGCATGCAGGAACAGAATGTAATTTGTATTTGCAGATAAAGGAACCAGGTTGTGTACAGTATATAAATTGATTCTGAGTTATACTGGACCCCATCCTCTGCAAGGATTTGCTACTCCAGAATAAAAACCTTCTAGCACTGAAAAGCTGGCTCAGCGGACATGAATGAATTTTCACTCCTACAAAAGCCTGAGATGAAAGAGAAGCACTTTCTAAAAGAGCAAGCAATATTTAAGTTTAGGTCTGCATAGATATGCTAGTTTTACTCCATGTGAACAGCTGGTGTCACTGAGGTCAAATATTACAGGCTGGTCTGTTCCTCTGTCCCTTGTAGAGCTTTGAAGTTTGTGGTGAGAACAGGCAGGACCGTTAGTAGAAGGCTGAAGGAGCTACTGTAGTCGCTCCTATTGGCTGTTAGTACTCCGTGAGAACACAGATCTCTGCTCAGGATCTACTGGAACTAAATGTTTTTAAATCAAGATAATTTTCCCCTATGCATCACTGACATGCTTTCCACTACTTCCCTGCTCAGTTTCATTTTTCAGGACTAGACAGGTTAGCTGTTTCTATCTGGTTTGGCCTGCTGTCCAGGCTGAGTGGCTTCTAGGGGTGGGCAATATGGACTTAAAGTTTTACCACATTATTTTTTGAAAATATGGTGACAATGATAAAATGACAATAGTAACTATTTATTACTTCTTTTTTTGTAACTATATGACTGCTAGAGTAATCAAACACAAATAGTGCTCTTGAAAAACATTTCCGTAATGTAATGTGTCTTTAGGACACCAGTCACATAAAAAAAGAGTCATTTGTATCACTAAACCGCACTCAGTACCTGCTTTGAATTATATTTTCATATATTATATTTATGGCTTTTATTTATTTGGTAGAAACGATGCACATTAACATTTTTGTGAATGTGCCAGAATTTGCCAAGGTCCAAGGTGCAACGGTCCAACCTTGGACAGTGTCCAAGGTTAAAATGACTTAACGTCACATATTTTTTTTCCATCAGAAACAAACAGTGGAGTAAAATTGTAAAAGTAATCCAAGCAATATGGACAGTCTTAGGGATTTTAAAATCTCATTAATTTGAATTTATTGTGATAATGATTAATCAAAATTCTTAACATGATAAGAAATTTATTGTGATAAATGGTAAACCATATGGTAGATGCTCAATTTCATTTTTTTCTGTCTGTCAGCAGCACCAATCTGGCTGATTTTTTATTTTATTTTATTTTTTTAACCTTACAGTAATTTCTTTTAATGGTCTGGATTCTCAAAATGTGTCTTCCTTTCCTAAGCAGCAGACATGTTTTTCTGCTTCAGAAATCTGCTCTGCAATTTAGCAATCACACATTGAGCCGTTTTGTGAAACAGGAAGTTAGACTTCGGTAGTGGTGTCAGGTTACTCTGAAACATGATGGAGTCGGAGGGGTCAGGCTGCAGGACGATCTGCTGCCTGTAAAATGCCTTTGTTTAGTTCTGTTTTCCTGGTAATGAGACTTTGAACTACCTGTTGTTCTGTGGCTCTCAGGTTTCTGATGATGCCAACCAGATCATAGCACCTTTGTCTTAGTCATTGCTTTAAACAAACACAGATGTGGGTGTTTGCACGAGAAGTTGTCGTAGTGACTCCTTCTGGTTTAGTCAGAGCAGAAAACAGTTTCCTTTTTAAATCCAGACCGGGTGGTCAGCCATGCCAACATGTTGATGACCTAACATAAGTTAGGTCATCAGCTGTTTCTCTCTCCAGTTGTGGTGAAAGGTCCAGATGTGTAAGTGTGATCTCATGCTAAAAGTGCTTTTCTTTCAGCCTGGGCAAAAACATTCCCACTGCAGCAGGAGATAAGACATAGTAACATTGTGGCTTGGATAAGCTTTGGTGGGTTGAAGAAAATGAGAGGAATGACTGCTGCTTTGGCTTGGGCTCTGTGTTTTTTATTGAGGGATGTCTGCTTTCACAGTGTCATTATCCAGCCCTTTGTCCCGCTGCAGCGCCTCTGCACACAGCAGCAACATACACTGCAAGACTGCTGGCAATGGAAAATTTTGTGGAGGAAAAGCACAGAGCAGAAAGAAAACAGGCTCTGCCACACGGAGGCACAGTTATTCACAGAAACCCTGATCAGAACAAAGCACAGCAGTGGGCAGTTATTTTGAAGAGTTGCAGGTTTCCATATGGAAGGAGGTATTGCTTGTTGTCAGTGTGGAGTAAGGGAGTGTGTCGGAGGAGGAGCTCTGACAGGCCCTCCCTCCTCTACAAAGTTGTGTGACTGGCCTGGTCAGCCATTCAGGGAGAGGCCAGATCCTGGAATCTGGCCATCCAGATAAGAAAACATTCTCATTGGCTAAACTCCCTACTGCAGAAAAGTGTGTGTGTGTATGGATAGACATGGTGGCAGATCGGTTTTGCTTCTCTTAGAGGTCTTGCTCAACTGCACACTCCAACAATACTAAGCCTTACTAAGTATTTTTGTTTAGTTTCTAGTGCAAATGACTCTGTATACTTAAGATAAGACAAAACAAACTTCCTGTAACTTTTGAGCATTGGGGCTTGTTTTCAGTCAGAAATTCCTTCATATTGATTTAGAAAAGAACTAGTCCACTGTCAGATTATTTTACTTACAACAAGACATTTTCTCCATGTTATTAATGGAACTAGTCCTTTTCCTCCAGTTTCCCTGTCCTGTTTCCAAACCCTTGACTTAACAGGCTACTGCAGCATTTAGTGGCTGCAGAGGAGGTTGTTTTATCATTTCAATCAGGTATGCCCATATCTTGCTAAAAAGTTACTTGTAAGTTGGTTTTGTCTTATTTCTTGTGTACTCAGGTATTTGAACTAGAAACTACAGTACAGATGAGCCTATTTTATTGTATTTGCTTCATAATCCAACCTCTAGACTTTCCAGGGGATGCAGGAACAGCTGTTGCTTTCAAAGACATAAACAGTCTGCAACGCTATGCCATGACTTTGTAGGAAGACTCAGAAAAACAACACATGTCTACTATTACAATGGAAGAATCTGGTGGACATGCTTATTACAGCAGGGTGTGCATGTGTTGGAGCAACAGGAAGACTTTACTGTGAACATGATGCAACATGCAGGGCTGCTAGAGGAAAATGATCCTGAGAAGGGACCAGCATGGAGAAGACGCCAAGGCAAGCCGAAAGCAAACACTGAATTTGAGGTTCACTCATAACCTCAGCCTGGGCAAAAACATTCGCTCTGCAGCAGGAGATAAGACATAGCAACATTGTGGCTTGGATAAGCTTTGGTGGGGTATGCACCCTGGGCAAGTTATGAGTGAACCTCAAACAAGCTTTCTGATAGTGCAGCCACCAATCATTCGCGCCTTGTTTTTGTAATGGCAACAGTGGTCCATAATGGCTTTGTTCACTGGCAGCTAATGAATGTGCTCCTCTGTTAACTGTTCTCTGTCAACTTGCTTTAGTGTCGGAAATCTTGCTAAATTAATGTGGTCCAGTTTGAAGCAGAGCCCATAAAACCCATAGAGCCATCACAAACTGGAATACACAACACATTTCAGCACAGAGCTTGAGATAATCAGTAGTAATCATTTTTTTGAGATTGTGCTCAGTTCACGCAGCAGGTCTTGATGCTCAATTTAGATATTTTGCTGGAATCAAATAATTTATTTTGTTTGGCATGATCGTTCGTGCTACGAATTAAACCAGACCGCAATGAGACTTTTGTGCATGGTTAATAACCGCATGCACAGAAGAAGAACATAGACATCTCAAAGCAGAGCTTCATTTATGGAAGCAGTTATGGATAGAAATATTTATGGATCGATTTTAAAGTTATTGGGAGCTGATAGGATTTTCACAAGATCATAACAAGCTTCTACAGTAAACCTGAACCTGAAGCTCACTTTACTGTCTGCATGAAGAGTTATTCCAAAGGGTGAATGCAACTCTTTGATAAAACGGTTTCCGTTTCTGATTTGATCATTTAGGTGATGTCTATGCTCACTATTTCTGCATTTCTCCTCCTGTACAGCTTCCATGAAGAATGGTAATGGCAGCCGGGTGCCTCTGGGGGTCAACGGGCAGAACATGGACTCTACTGGTTTCTCTGAAGGAGAGCTGCTGCTGCAGGTGAGAGGATGAGTTAACCCTGAAGCCTTCAGTGCTACACTCATCTGACAACAGCTGGGTCACCGAGGTTTCAGCTGCTGGTTTATACATCAGCGCCTGTGCCCAGGATCACTTCTTGATTGGACACTTTCAGCTTTCTATCTACTAACTGAAACAACAAACTTTGACTGTCCCATTCAAATGCATGGCAGTTCCAGTGCAGTTCTGGCTCTATGTTCAGGTGTGTTGTCTTGTTGGATGCTGAGCCTCTGCCAGCACAAACTCTTTAACAGCTTTTCTCACAGGAATGACTGATCTTAAATTACGCTGTAGACTTAAGTGATACAGATTTATAACAAACTCCATGAGTGTTTTTGGTTGTGATGAGAATTCGAAAAAGTTCTATGGAGATCAATACATTTGTGAAGCCCTGATTTGTAAACTGACATAAATCCAAATAACTAATTATTCCAGTTAACTAAACAGCCAACATGTGTTCATGTGCAACTGATTCCAATCAGTTCTATCAGACACAGTTCCAGTGGAGGTCACAGCTGTTCAGTCCTAGCACCCAGTGCAGTGATCCATTTCTGTTTATGGAGGATTTTCTAGAAGGTTTTCTCCATTATTAGAGTTTCTGTTTGCTGCCAGTGTTTCCATTCAGAATGCTCCACTACATATTCCTCTTTGTAGAGAAACAATCTTTTAATCTTGCCAATACAGGATTTAGTTCCACTCTTGTCAAGCAGTAAGCAACACTTTTGTAAAATTTCAAACTGACAATTAACTTGTATTTTCATGATTCATGATGCAGAGAACGAGCCAAACACTAGCAGGGAAGCTAATTCACACGTCTTTAAAACTTGTGTGTTACTGTAATGATGTTGATTTAAACCACGTATGTTCATTCTGCAATTAGACTCAGCGGTGGATAGGAAATAGCTATATTTACTCAGTCACATGTATTTTCATTATTTTAATGGGCAGCCTAGATTTCAGAGCCAGCTACACATCCTAACTATTTTATCTTGGTTAAGTTTCTTTATCAGTTGTGGTGATTCTGGCCATTCACACCATGTTTTTGTGTTCCCTGTGCAGGCGCTGAACGGCTTTGTGTTGGTGGTGACATCTGAAGGAATGGTGTTTTACACCTCCCCTACCATCAAAGACTACTTGGGCTTCCATCAGGTGACACAGAGACCCGCCTGTCCTGCATTTCTGAGAAACCAGACCCATTCATGATGTGTTGAATTACTATGCAGCATAATTCACAAATATAAACACAAATTGCTGCACAATAAAAAAAAACTCTGCAGAATTACTCAATTATTGCCGCCTTTAAACATAATTTAAATTACAATGTGATGAAAAGGGCATTCTGGCACTCTGTACATCTCTAGTGGTGCACAGTAGACTCTGTTACACAAAAAATGTTTTACATATAGGGATTTAATAAACATTGTGAGTCATCACCTGACTAAACATTGCAATATCAGTGTAATATCAGCTTTGAGAAGAAGCTGCTAGTTAACTATTAAAAAATATTACATTCAAGCCCCACATTGTACTTATTTTAATAACATTTCATTGGCCTGGAAAAATATCCTCATAAAAGATGATTAAGTATCCATCAGTGTTAATCGTCTTTGTTTGCTTCCCAGACTTTCTAAAATTCAGGTCAGGGGCATTCAAATTCATTCGGAGGGCCAGAAATGGCCCCCAAACCACACATTGGGACCCCTGGCTAATTTAGTCCTTGTGATCCCAGGGCGGAGTTTGGTTTTTAGATGTTACCTTTGCATGTCTTTTAAAAATCTTTTGCTGAATATAACCCAAACTGCCAGAGTGTAGTCATATCTAGGCCTGACATAATAACTGATTTTGCTTGACAATTAATTGTTTATTGTGTTAAGCTTTAATATGGTTTTCTTGAGATGATTTTCAAGTAGCATCATGCTTATGGCCCAATAAAGTTGAATTTCTAAAGAACATTTAACTGGAGATATTTTAGATATCTAAAATAATCAAAACAAAAGAAACAAAAAGTAAGACCCTGAAGTTCCTGTAAACAAAATTATCTTTCAAAAAATGGATCAGTTGAGGTCAAAGCACCAAACTGAAAACTTTTGTCATCTAGTCTTTGGTAGAAAGACATGAGAAAAACAATTATGCACATGAAAATTTTTAAGTCAGTTTTAATTTAGCATGAGAGAATTGATTTATTGCAACAAGTTTAACCATATAATTTTCAAACTGCTGTTTGTTCCCTTCCTCTCCAGACTGAACAAGCTGGATATAATCAAGAATTATAATTTTAACCTCACTGTAACTCAAAAACTCTAAAGGTTAAACAGCTATGTCTGCACTCCCATCGTACTTCAGTGAGACCTGATGCTGTTGTCCATCTTCCCACAGTCAGACGTGGTCCACCAGAGTGTGTTTGAGCTCATCCACACTGACGACCGAGCCATGTTCAGACAGCAGCTCCACTTTGCCTTAAACCCTCCTCCAATCCCCTCAGATGCAGACCGTAAGTGGTGATGGAATGAGCAAGAACAGTATGAAATACAAATCACTGGAACTCTAACACTGATTTGCTATCAGTGTTAGAGTTCCATGCTTGGCAGAATATTCCAGATATGTTTGGTCTGTGTTTCTGTCTTAGTCTCCCAGAACTGTGAAAATGCAGTGATGTACAACCCAGAGCAGCTCCCCCCTGACAACTCCTCCTTCCTGGAGAGGAGCTTTTTCTGTCGCTTCCGATGTCTCTTGGACAACTCCTCCGGCTTCCTGGTTTGTCGATGCTTAATTCAGGAATAAAAATAAAATCCTTAAACCAGCATGTAATTCTAATCCTTTTTTTAAACAGGCCCTGAAGTTCCATGGGCGCTTGAAGTACCTCCATGGTCAAAACTTTTCCAGGGACAGTGAGAGCTGTAAACGTATCCAGCTGGCTCTGTTTGCCATCGCTGTGCCTGTCCAGTCTCCGTCAATTGTGGAGATCAGAGCCAAAATGCTCCTCTTCCAGACAAGGCACAAGCTGGACTTCACACCCACTGGCGTTTGCAGCAGGTCTATGATTTTCATTACAAAACAGTCAAGTACTTTCTAAGAGCCCAGCACTGTCTGCAAACAAGGAGTTTGATTAGGAAGTCAAGTCAAATTCAGTTGAAGTGTTTTTAGCTCCTGTGCTGTCAGTGAAAGGTGAAAGTTTGGTTGGCATGGAGACCAATTGAACCAGTACTCCTAACATTACTCTGCTTGATTGTTTCTGCAGGGGGAAGATAATCCTGGGTTATTCTGAGACGGAGCTGTGTATGAAAGGCTCAGGATATCAGTTCATCCATGCTGCTGACATGATGTACTGCGCTGACAACCACATCCGCAGTATGTTCACTACTCACTTGTCTTCTCTGCATTACAACCAAACGCTAAATGGAGACCCAGTAACACTGATGTTTATTTAACAAGGAGATGCAGTGTCTTGCAAATATATTCACATCTTTTATTTTTTTTTTTTGATGGGATTTTTACTCAGATACCTCAAAGTAAAGTAAAGTGCAACCAGCTGCCTTCCAGTAGTCAAGTAATTAATTAATAAAGTTCTTTAGGGCAAAGACAGTACAGTTAGGGTAATGGACAGAAAAAAAAAAGTTTACTATCTTAAAATAGTAAGACTACACTTACCACATTAAATCTGTCTACTACACCATACTCGTATGTATTGGTCTGTCACATAAAAATGCAATAAAATAAAACAAGGTTTGTGTTTTGCCACAGTTGATGGCTTAAATTTAACTTTACAGTTTATTTCTTTTTGGAGAGTTATTTGATCAAATGTTGGTGTCACTGCAGGAGCCATTATTTACCAACAGTATTTGAGAACACTTTCAAAATACAATTTTTTTAACTTAAAGTGTGTGTTTATTGTGACAGTGATTAAAACAGGAGAGAGCGGTCTGACTGTGTTCAGACTGCTCAGCAAATCCAACGGCTGGGTATGGGTGAACTCTAACGCCAAGCTCATCTACAAAGGAGGGAGACCTGAGTTCATCATTGCATACCAGAAAGCTTTAACGTGAGTAGCTGGACTTACTGACAGCAGGCGGAATGTTAAATTTATCAGACTTAACATTCTGATAGATTGTTAACCAGTTGCCGGGAGCCAGTCCTCATGTGTTCTGCCTTCTTTGTTTCAGCAACGCTGAGGGAGAGGAGTACCTGAGACAGCGGCGGCTGCAGCTGCCCTTTAGCTGCGCCACAGGAGAGGCCATTCTCTACAATACTGGGCCCACCATGGACATCTCGCAGCTCCAGTTTGACAAAATGTTTGACACCAGAAATACGAAGAGGGACATGCTCCCCACCTCCCTTCTTGACTGCTTCATGAGTCAGGATGAAAGCATGTACAACCAAGCGGTGGACAACCCCCTACCTGTGGACCAGGTGTTCATGGACACCCACGCACTGGTCGCTGTACCCAGCAACGAGTGGCAGAAGACCTCATCAGAGGTGCCAGCTGAACCCATGTTGGTGAAGGAGGAGGCCAAGCAGTCAGTGCTGGCTGTAATCGACAGCCTGGAGAAGCTGACTCACAGTGGAGACTTTGAGGACATTCTGGGGAACATGGAGGTAGACGATTCTGAGCTGATGGAGTTGGAAAACTGCTTTAAGAAGTTCCACCAGGAAGAGGATCCTCAGAGAAGTTCTGGCTCCGATCTGGACAACTTCATCACTGATGAGATTGTAGACTTTATTGACTCAGTGTTCAAAGAGAGGAGGGGGGAGTGCTTGAACAGCCTCACCTTGAGCTCCCTTACAGAAATCAACAATTTCTCATCCTCTGAACTGTGTGAGCCACAGCTCTTCCACACTCCCGACCCCAGTTGTTCTTACTCAACAGTGAGCAGCTGCTACGAACACCTAAATGATTCTGTGCTTTCAGGCCAGAGTCTGGCTGAGTCCACTCCGATGGGCAGCAAAAGCCACAAACAAACTCAACAGGGTCACACTGATAGCAGTCTGCCGCTACTGCAGCAGCTGCAGCTGCATGACATCTTCAGTCCAGCCATAGAGCTCCCAGCGCTCACTGTACCCAACAACTCAGTGACAGAGGCCTTCCCTTCTACTCAGACCTGCCAGAAGCAGCAGGCATCCATCATGCCAGCCAGATGTTCTCAGGGCAGTTCATCTCAGCTGCTCCTGCAGCTGGGAAGCAGCTTGGAGGGACCAGAACGAGCAAATGGCCAGATCCTGCACAATTCTGCTCAACATCTGAGCAACACAGTACTTGGTGTAAAAACAATTCCCTATAGCAACTTCACCGCCACACCTCCTGATGGCTGTGATCCAAAGTTTCTGCAGAAGGGTCTTGTGTGTGAGAACCACAGGGCTCCTGTGCAGCAGTGGCTTCAGAGCCAGCAACAGACACTACCACATGCTGACATCATCCAGAATGAACATGAGTCCATGTCCACATTCCAGAACCAACATCCAGGGAGCCAAACATTCCCTAGTTCCAGCTTTTGTCCAGGCAGCATCAGCAGTCTAAGTCACCTGGAGCAAGGAGGTCTGGGGCCAGCTGGCAGTCAGGACCCCCACAGCAGCTGCATGTTCCAGCAGCACTTCTCCAACCCAGCAGGGGTAAAACTTTTATCTCACTATGGTCCCCCAGACCTCAACGGGGATCAGAGTCCCAGCTACCTACAGTGGAGCCACAGTGAACTTCCAGTGGGCACATCAGCCATCAACCAGGAGATGCCCAACATCGGCCCTCTGGTCCCTGGCATGGCCCCCGCAGAGGACTCCTGTAACGTGCAGCAGTACCTGGACAGCAACACACAGACACCGGTAAACAGTCCTGAAAACACACCACCACCAGCCCAGAATGAGCCCTAGAAAGAGATGGCACACTGAACAACTTAAACCATTAAATGTCTCACTGTTGGGTGTTAGAGGTGCTAGAATTCCTCAGACCTCATGATCAAATGTACCACTGATCATAAATCAGAGCATCATGAGCTCTGATAGTTTAGTAAGGCTCCAGGTGAACATGATTTTATTATGTTCCAAGAATAATCACAGCTACAACATGAGTTTGTTCAATTAGACAAATAACCACAATTGTATTTCTAAAACAAATTAATTGAAAAAAATTACTGGCTGTATTATAATTAATGCCATGTATCAAGCAGAGAAAAAAGAAAATAAAATCAATCAATTTGGATTCATCCATCCATTAGCTTACACCCTTATCCCTATGGGGGTTGCGAGGGGAGCTGGTGCCTATCTCCAGTGGTCAACAGGTGGAGAGACAGGGTCACCCTGGACAGGTTACCAGTCCATCACAGCAAATTAGATTCGTTTTAAACCTTAAACCTAATTTAGTCTGCTTCTTTAAAACATGGTGGTGGATCATAATGAGCTTGCTGATTACAGAAATATGAACTCAACAAGACAGCTCTAATCTGAGATGATAGAACTGGAACTAAGTTTGGTCCAGACCAGCACATAGGGCATCGCCAAAGTCCAAGTGTGATGTAAAATATGCATGAATCATTCCTAGTTATGCCACAGGATAAGTACAGCTTTAGCTTAGCAAGCTTGAGCAGAACAAGATTGAACAACGTCAGAGATTGACTTTGTCCAATCTAAAATAATGATCAAAGATAAAGGCTGAGTGAATGTTTAGAGCCTAGGGGCATCAGGGATACTTCACCCTAAAAAAAGTTCAAATTTGAACTGAACTCATGTTCAGTGGTCCTCTTTGGTTTAACTGGTCGGTAACTCTGAATATCATCAACAAAGCAATAGAAAGAGGGTAGAACCCAGAGGGAACAACCAAATGTATCAGCTATGGACCCACATCAAATCCTTGCGGTACCCTTAAGTAATTAAGAGGGACTGAAAAATTTCAGTCAAGCGGTGTACAACCGCTTGACTTGGTTTAAACTAGGATGGAACCAAGAATTTCCGCATAACCTACTGTTCAGTAGATGAAAGTACAGAATTATAATAAATGGCAGGAAGATCAACATTCTGGACAGATTTCAAACCAGACTGGAATTTCTTTGTTGAGGCTCTCCAATAATTCTGAAGTTGACTCCATATTTCTTTTGCTAAAATTTTAGAATGAAAGACTAGTTCGAGAACTGGTCTGTTGTTAGACATCACTGCTGGGTCAAGAGAATCAGATAGCTGTCTGTGGGTGAAAAAAAGAAGAATGGGTAGACCAAAGCAGTTGACATCACAAGCATTGCAAGAACAAAGCGGAAACAACTGGCAAGTAGAAGGAAGTTTTTACAGTCACATTAATATAAGACTTCATGATAAATTGTAGTCTTCAAATAATGAGACAAAGGTGAAGTTTGGGGAAGCAAAGAAAGACCCTAAACAGTGTCCCAGTATTAAACAGAGGAAGTAATTATATCATGGTTTGCATGGCTCTTTCTGTAACACATGCAAGCATCTATATGAATGAAGTAGCAGAGCAAAGTCCAACCATCAGTCTGCTTCCATCAAAAACATTAGAATCAACTGAATGTGAAATCCACATCAAAAGTTTAAAGACCTGCAAAAAATAATTATAAAATTGAATATTTAACTTTAGCAGAATGGTTCACATGTGATGTTATGTTTGGATGTAATTGTTGCTCCACTCCTTTGCTGACATGTTTTTCATCCATTCAGCAGAACAGCAGAGTAGCCGCTCAGTCTCGAGGAATTTTCATCAATCCTGCTCTCATGGAGTAGAACGCAGCCTCATCCATCGACAGCAACACAAACTCAGTATAGCTTGCCTATATCAGTGCTTATCCACATCACATATGTTCTAATATTATATATGTGTTTTATACTTCTTTGTACAATTACACAAATGCTCTTCTCTCTGCTTGTCAGCTGTTGCTTTCGTGAAAATACACAGTAGTAACAATGAAGTATGAATTTACAAGTGTGTTTACCAGGATGCAGATGGAGCCAACCAAAGATGTTTTATAAGGGAAACCCGAGCTCCTTCCAAAACTTGGATGTTTTATTGCAATCACTCATGTTTTTCTAAAGGACCTAGTAATCTGGGTAAAAATATTGAACTGTGCCTTCAGATGCATAGGATATCAGATGAAATCTGTACATTTTAAATGAAACTGTCCAACTGGTTGATGTAATTGTATATTTATTTGTTTAATTTTTTATGTGCCTTTTTATTTTAGGTTTGTTTGTTACATCTGAATTCTTTGGCTCTTCAAACCCCACACGTATAGAATGCATCAGCATATGTTCATTTATGTGCAGTCTATAGAAATGCATTTCTTGGGAAAATGATTCTAGAGATTTTGTGTTTGAACAAGCAAGCACTCCGCTGCACCTTTGCACCAAATCCATTAAGATCCCGTCTGGACTTCACTTTAAGTGCCTTTTGCAGTCTCACTATGTATATAAAAGCCATTCACATTCACCTCTGCAACAAGCTAACAACCAAAGCTTCCCAGAGATTGTCCCCTCACACAAGTGTTTAATTTCAAGCCATTTAGCCGCTTCTGTAAAACCAGAAAAGGCTAAGAAAACATGCTGCAGAAAGTTCAGCCTCCAGATTCCAACACAGCCACAAAATATAAAATTTTATTTCTAATGAAAGAATACCTGTTAATTGATAAAGTATATGCTGTAGATGATTCAGCCCAACATAAATTTATAACACCATGTAGTGATCTGTTTGTATCTGATCATAACTTATGCAGCGACTATTTACTGTCAGACCTGAACTGATCTTGGTGGTTCTAAAATGTAATACCAAACCCAAGCGCTAGGTGTCATCACAAACTAGCACACATTTTTCAAATTGATGAGATTGTTGTGCTCAATATATTTGAGGAAATAATTGCAGTAAAGAAAGTTTAAGCTTATATAAAGCTGTTGTTAGTCCAGTAGGGCTCCTCAGAATATCTTTCTTTGATAATTTATTTACTATATATGCGTTTGTTGCTTCACGAGCATTTCTAAAATTTTATTAAAAGTCATTGTAAAAACTTAAGTACATCTTACTTTAATTCTAAGGCTTTCATAAATCAGAACAGGTACAAAACACAGGAATGAAATGGCTTAATTACCTCCTTCTTGTGTAGATCAGTTCTCCAGAGCCTTGCCAATGACCTAATTATTTTATTCAGGTGTGGTGCAGCAGAGGCACATCTAAATGTTGCACGACGCTGGCCCTCAGAACATGATAAAAGTGAAGTGGTTGTTAGCAAGTCCTGATAATTTTAAATCTAACTTCAGGTAAAAACACAGTTTCTACATTCTGCTGTAATTTATTAAATAAATGCAAAACGCAAGAGCTGTTTACAAAAAACTATTATTCAGTAGCCTCAAGATCCTCCTTTGGCAGAAATCATCTAATTTACACCAAGAATAAAATCTCACTTTATCGTTAGCATGACGTGGTTTTAGCCCATCTTCAGGCAGCTTACCTCACAAGGAACATTTTGCCATGTTGAGGACATCATAGGAAAAGCTAATGCCTGTTAGACTGCAAAGTGCCCAGCTCCTGTGACTGCAAAGGAGGCCCAGTTCATCAGTTCTTCACCACTGTGCTTTGCAGGTGTTGAACTGCTGGGAATAATGGTCAAACACTTCTTCTTTGGCCATATGTGTTTAATGGACAGCTCTGAAAGTTTGGTACATCTTTTAGATGAAGTTTTGGTGTTTAGAAAAAAGAGCCCATCTTCTTCAGCTCTGTTGTACAAATCATGCTTCTGCAATCTTTTCCTCATTGCTCTGTTTTGAAGTTGATTATGCTACCATTAAAGGATAAAAAGTCTGAGAGGAAACTCAGACAATGTATTCTCCCAACATTTTAAATTACTTGGAGATTAACTCCTGGGAGAAAGGCGACTGCCCTCAGCTCTTTCCAGAATCATCTGAAAAAGCATTGCCTTTCATCAGGTTCCTGGAAACTGTTGCTTTAAAACTAGGTTGGACCTCTGGATCAGTGGACTCTGTCAGATTTGGAGTGGTGCTGTGACCCATACTGGACACGTGTGAGTCCATTTTAAAACACACATCTACTCTTCTAAGTTCCCCTGCTGAGATCCCTGCACATGGACTAGAGTAGAACATGTTGTTATCACACTACAGAGTTCCAGCCCAGGTTGAAAAAAATAGTAACAAGGTCCTTTTTTCATCGGAATGCAAGCTTCCTAAATGCCCCGAGTGGCTTTGTGGCGTCAGGTTGTTGACAATAGCTTAAGTGGTATTGAAACAACAAGCAGATGAATGTGAGACTGGCTCAGACTTGCGATTCAAACACTGAACTCCAACACAAAGACACACCCAAACTTGTGCCCTGTGCCTTCAAATAAATCCCAACTTCAGCAGAAATTCCATGTTGTTGTAGAGACGTTTTGCTTTGTGTCTATATCAGGGGTGTCAAACTCCAGTCCTGGAGGGCCACTGTCCTGCAGTTTTTCAATGTGCCACAGGTACAAAACACAGGAATGATTTCATTCCTCCTTGTGTAGATCAGTTCTCCAGAGCCTTGCCAATGACCTAATTATTCTATTCAGGTGTGGTGCAGCAGAGGCACATCTAAATGTTGCACGACGCTGGCCCTCGAGGACTGGATGTTGACACCCCTGGTCTACATGGTTCTCTGTATCAGAAAGTGCATACATTTGCATCTAACCAGGACAAACAACGATGACAAGGGAACAGTGGTGTGACCTGATGAAAGAAAGTGAGAACGTGACAGTGCTTTTAGATCTCAACTTTCTTTGTTTCTTCAGCTTTTTCTACTCTTTTTGTAAAATTTTTCACACTACAGAATGATGTGGGGGGTCTCAAAAAGCTGAGCTTGATCTCCAGTAACATGGCAGCTTCATGGATTCCTGCTCTTCTCTAGGAAACCACTCAGTATTTAAATTTCCGTCACAACTGTCATGTATGTTCATGTGTATATTTTAATGAAAACATTAGAATATACATATGAGACTTTATATTCAGTAATAACCTAAATATCTGATTGTTGAGGCCTTTTTCAAGGCTGTTGTTGGAGATGTTTCTGCTCCACCAGCAGGGGGAACTCATCTGTTGAACTCTGATGACTGCAGCCACTATGAAAAACGTGGAGTCGAACGTTTGAGTCAATCATGTTGGTGAGCTAACATGTGCTCTAATAGTTGCCATATGTCTGCTCTTGTATTAAAAAGAGGAAAGAAAAATGTCATTGAATTTTATCTAACCAAGTACTTAAAATATATCTTTATCATTATATAACATGGCTTTGTATACTGTTATATGCTTTTTTCATAAACAAGTGCAATCATTCTGCTGTTGTTTGGCTCCTTTTGCTTTGTGTGTAGTTTTCAAAGTTTACCAGAACCTCCAAATGAGTATTTTCTATAGCTGTGGTTCTCAACTGGGTTGTTGAGAACCCATTTGAGAACTGGGTTTCCTACTGGGTTGAGGTATTCAGATGAAAAACATATAATTAAAAAAAAAAATTGTAGCAATACAAATTTACCATGAGGAAATCACCTGTTTTAACAAGTTCATTTTGCAGCTTCCTGTGAGTTGGTTTTAACTTGCATCTAGAAATTAAATCAAACCCAACTTACCTGTGTTTCTGTTTAAAGGCTTGTAAATTAAAAGATTTGGGTTAAAAAAATCACACTAATGCTATTACCAACATATGAAAGATAGTTATGTTGGGCCTTTTCCTACTCTGTTCTCACACAAAGCCAACTTTCTATTATATTTTTCCAAATTCACACTTGGAAATGTAATTTAGTGACACAATCTGAGGCTTAATCAAACTTTTAACAAGTCTTGATGCAATAAAACAAATGGCTACAGTGGGAAACCATGTATGTTAGGTGATAAAATGTTTGGGGACCAAGAACACTGCCATGAAAAAAGTTAAATTAAAATGTCCTGAAAGAGTGGACAAATATCCTGTGTGTTCAGGACGTGTGGATCTGAAATAACGGATTCATAATAGGTTCTGTTAACCGGCTATGGTAGAGCTAGAACATAATAAAATATGTCTTTAAGAAGAGTTAAGACAACTTATTCCGACAAACCGGGCATAGATGTTCCAAATTATAGAAGTTCTAAGAAAGCAAAGAAAAATAAAAATAAATTCCTCTTAAAGAAATAAAGTTTGTATCAATCAAACTGTATTTGTATAGCACATTTCTGCAACAAAGCATTTCAAAGTGCTTTACATCATAAACACAAAAGGCCAGTCTCCGTGCTGTGGTGAGCACAAAAACCAGATTGGAAAGAGTCAAAGCAGTTGGTCATCATGAGGAAACTATTTAATTGTTTACACACAGTTTTTTCATAACTTTGCTGATGAATGGGAGGTCAGAGGTCGGCCTGTAATTCTGCAGTAGTGATTTGTCCAGGTTGTTCTTTTTTAACAGTGGTTTGATGACTGCTGTTTTCAAAGCCTGGGGGAAAACACCTGATGTAAGCGATGAGTTACTATTTGGATCAGATCAGTAGCAATAACAGGCAGGACTTTCTGAAAGAAATGTGTGGGAAGGACATCCAGACAGCAGGAGCTTGAACTTAATTGACTTATAATTTCTTCTAAGGTTTTATAATTGAAAATGAGTCTTTTTTTTGTAGTTTAAATTGTTTCTGAGGCTGCAGTCCCCCAGCGTCCATCATAATGTTGAACAGGTGGAGGTTTTTCCAACGTACACAGAACCTGAACCATCTCTTAGAACCACAGATTCACTCACTGTATGAATTTCCAGTAATAAATGATTAATTGTTTTGTTTCCTAAAGAGATGGAAGGGCTTTAAAAGTAAAGGTTTTATAGTGTTCCTTTAAATATATGACAGATCATTTCCACCAGAGGGTTCCCTTGAACTTCACCTGTATTGTAAGATGTGACTGAACAAGCAGCAGTTACCAGTTCCTCACAGGGCCAACACAAAAACAGGTCAGATTATCAAACATGCACCATACCGATCCAAGCTCTAGATCCTTCCACCTGATCCAGCTGAGTCTGAAATGATCTGCAGAAAACTTTGAAATCCATTCAAGCTGAAACTACAAACAGATCAGCTCCCACAACATCCCGAAGACTTTTCACTCTCTGTCTCATTAGTCTCTTGATGAGGATTGACAAGACCCTGTGAAAGGTTGACTCTGCCTCCCACCCTTCACTTTGGAAGAAACTCAGCATCTTCACCCAAATCCTGTCAAGCTGATTCCCCTCCATTATTTCACAGCTGACCTCTGACCCACATACGCCACTCTGAATCGCCGGCGTCTGTCTGTAAGTACTAGAGTCATCCGGGAGCGCGCGCACGAGAACACGCTCGTTCCCTCGACTGTTCCACGTGCTCGAGCACATGAGCCGTGGTGCGTGAGAACCGTGGTCTGTTCTGTTCTGTTCACCTCAGTCTGGGTGAAGCTGACACTCATCCACGTAAAAATTTTCAGCAGTTAGACTGAGTCGTTGTGCTCCGTTGGTGCCACTAAAATTTTTGTTTGTGCTGCTTTGGTTTCTGAGATATTAAAAAATATTTTTAGGTCATCTCCATCGGCCCGTTAAATCTGATTTGTGCGGCTTTCCTTCATGAGACATCATGGAGCCCCTGCATGTGATTGTTTACATCTGGGAACTTCGCATATGTTGTTATTCTGTTAGTTGCCATAGCAGCGCTGCCGGTAGTACAATTCCGTTAACAAAAAGAAACCTTATAATTAATTTAGTTTGTTATGGAGCATGACCTAAATAAAATATTTGTAATATTTCAGAAAACAAGGCAGCACAAGCCTGCACAGGAGCACCGATCACGCAGGATATTTGCTGAAATCTTTCAAGTGGGTGGAGGGTGGGGTGTCTGCAGGTCCACGCAGCTGGATGAAGAGCGTGGAATGCGCGGCCCCGCTGCAGGTTGGAGTGGAAGAGACTCTGCTGCTGTCTGCAAGCTGTCTGACCCGCAGGAGAGATGCGCTGCATTCGGGTGCAAACTGCGCCAACGCTCTGAGAGTCTGCTGCTCAGAGACAGGACTCTGCTGCGTCACTTTCCTGTCCAGTTCATTCGCTGATGGCTTTGGATTTGTTATTCCTATTATCGGACATGCTGTATGCGAGCGGCAGATTCTAGCGGAACGTTGGCCGGTGAGTTCTGCGTGTCCTTCTAGAAAAGGAGCAGACATGTATGCAGGACGCAAGAGGAGAAAACCCGTCCAGAGAGCGTGAGTTCCGATGAGTTTCTCATCTTTATTGTTAAATGTGTTTTAAAGGAATGCGGACCAGTTGAGATGCACCTGCTGAGCTGAACTGTGCCTCAGAAGGCGCAAAGCTTCAGAAGGCGCAAAGCTGCGGCCAGACAAGTAGGAAAAGTAGCGGTTGAGATTTCGTTCTCTTATTAGTTCGCACTAATTTTGAAAGCCCAGATTATTTGGGGAAAATGTGGTTTTAGAAAAAGAAAAACGCTGGAAAAATGTTTTTGTTTTAAATTGAGATGGATCAGATCTCAGGCCTGCAGAGGCCTCAGCGTCCGACCTGCAGCTTCAGCTTCTTCATCGGAAATAATAAATGAATCCATAAAAAGATGGAGGAGCAAATATGCCTAGACGTTCCATTCGTTTTCATAACTTCGTATTGGTTGTTTAGCAACATTTAGTTTGGACATCGGGATCCGAACGACGCCATTTTCCTCATGAACGTCCTTCAGCTCCCATCCACTCAGCGCGCAGTGGCCTGGACAATACCACACACCTTTTATTATACTTTCTTTCAATATTTTCAGATGCATAAATGAAAACAGTAAAAGCTAAAGTAACAGCAAATTGTAGCTCGATCAGCCAGAAATGTTCTTTATTTTAAAAGCTGGCTGTCATCAGCTGTTTTATGAGGCCATGACAGTCGCATCACTGTCAGGGATTCAGCTGATTTAAAAATAAATCACACAAAAGATTGTATTGCACCGGAATACAAAAAATGTCCAAGTTGAAAATGAAAAGTAATTATTTATGACTGTGAAAAAGACATTTTAGTCTGTGATGTTCTGAAAGCTTGGCTGTCATCTACCAAAAGCCCTGCAGTTCTTTGTAAAAGAACAGTTAGATTCTGAACTGCATTGAAATAAGACATCTTGATATGGAAACAAAATGTCTGAAGGTGCAATTTCATTCCAAACCTGATAATTTTTTCCCCAGAAACCAATAATATCAAAGACAAAATACTCTTAACATATAATTAATATATTATTTAAAATTTGCTTAAAAATGATACTTTAGATCAGTGGTTTTTCATGCATATTTCACTGTATTTTATAATTTTACTGAGAAAAAGTAATACAGAAAGAAAATGGGGACATATCATTCTGCATCATTGTCCTTCTGCAGAACCAAAGTGTTTTTGGGCTCCCGGTTCTGTTCTGATGGCTGGATGTTCTCCTGCATGATTTTCTGGTTGGAAGGAAACTTAATCACACAAACATCACCATGTTTGACTGTCTTGATTCTGTCTTTGTTGAGAAATCATATGATGGTTGGTTTAAGAGAGCAGGTTAGAAAGGACAGCACACAGGGGAATCCAGCAGACACTGACAGCCAACGAGGAGTTTAAATACTGGTGATTGGATGGAGAACCAGTGGCTGAGAAATGAGACCAGAAATGTAGATTGAAGAAAGAGAGAACAAAAGAGAGAGAGTTAATAATCAAGCCTTGGTTTGGCTTGTGAAGTCACCCCAACTTAAAAAAAATGTAGCTTAACCATATTTCATTTAGGATTCAATAAGGAATCAATCACTTCTTCTCCGACTGCCATGTTTGGATGTAGCTTTTTCTCCTTGACTGAATAAATTTATTGCTTAAAAATGTTTGTTTTTGTTTCCTCTGACTATGTATGTTGGAATGTAGCAATAGCTACAGTAAATAAAGTTAAGCACTAATGGGGGAATGACAATCAGATTATTTCACAAAATAATCAGATTTTTTATGTCTCGTTCTTGTAGAGAATATAGCATGACTGAAATCTGAATGAATTAGGAAAGAACATTATTTTTTGACCCAATTTAAATATCAAAAATAATTGCAGATGAAATGATTGGACTTTGCCGTTGTGCTGGTGAGGATCAGAGATGCTCTGACTTTGTTTAGTAGGAACACAGTTTTAATGCTGGATGGATAAAGGACATCCATTATTATATGATGATGACAGTCAGTTAGCTTAATTAAAATAAATAAAATTATTCTAATATTGCTACTGTTGACACGGCAGCTACTTTGTAACAATATATATGGGTCAATTTCTTTTTTTACTTTGTTTTTTGGATTATTTGGAGACAAAATCAGAATGAACTTGAACTGAACTCTTTAGTTGTCATCCTCAGAGTGAGAATGATTACATTTTAACTGGTAAATAAAACTTGAAGCATATGTTTTTTATAGCTATCTGAAAGGCTCAATGTGAAACTTTCCCCTTCAAAAAATCTGATTTGTGCATAATCCATATGAGGTACGATATCAGAATCAAATAGTTTGCAAAGCGTCTGCAGTCTGAATGGCCATATCATATTCCACCCAGCTTTCATGTCATTGACGTCAGACATGCCTCATATTTCTGCACCAGAAGTAGACCGTGCTCCAGCCGCTGCAGGAGTCAAACTGGAAGTCTTGGAAACTTGTCAGACTCAAAAGTTACTCGTAAGTTTTAGAATCAATCAGAACTTAAAATGACTAAAAACTAGCAGTTTATGTTCCTTGGTGAAAAAAAAGTACATGTGATATTTGTCCAGTGTAGGTGATAAAAGAAAAAAAATGGATTCCTGGTGAGTGACTTTAATTTACGTGGCCCCAAAGTTCAATCAAAGTCTATTTTATGATTCTATTATATTGTTGTGAAGCTCAAATTGTACACAGGGATTATGTATTTTCCTGTTCATTCGCAGCTCTTGGAGTGGGGCATTTAGGTCGGGAGCCATTTCCTGTCTATGAACTTCAGAGAGGAAACAGACACTTTTTTGGTGGGGAAGGGATTTATGTTTATTTGCTTATCAACATTTATAATGCAAAGCTATTCGTAGGATGGTCTTTTCTGTAAAAAAATGACTTGTCAGTTATTATAATTATTTGTCTATGATCCTGTAGTGTGGACTGGTTATATATTTATATAAAAAATCTATCTTTAAAATCGTATTTATCAGCAGGGATATCTGGCTGCAACCCTAAAAAACACTGTAAAACTGTAACAGCTTGATGAAGAGATATGTGAACCACATGGTAACATGGAGGCTTGGGAGGCTGGGTGCTGTGACCAGACCTCTGGCCTGTTCTCTCACTTTGCAGTGATGGTGAGTCATGCACGTCACCATGAATGAACTTGGAGTCACCATAACAGCTGCACCGAATGTACTGCATTCTTGTCTTTGCTGGTATAATCCTACATGCGTGATACAGTCAGATCTCTGGTCTAAGCAGCAGGAAGTCCTGCCCTCTGATGAATTGGGAGCATGTGATTATCAGCTATTAGAGGCGTTCCTTTCTGAACCGGCTGCAGGAGCCTTCATCTTAGATCATGTCTACCCGGGTTAATAAGGACTGAACCCTCACCCAGTGCTGTTTAGTTGTTGGCATGTATCCCTTTGTGTTTAAAATAAATATTCTCTTAATGAGATTACAGATTACATTTAAAAGCATAATCTCTAGTCACATGTGGGGTATCCCAAGGTTCAATCAAAGGGCTGCTCTTATTCAATATGTGCTGCCACTAGCTAAGGTTGTAACAGGAAATAAGATTAGTTACCATAGCTATGCAGATGATACACAGTTCTACATTACGATGTCCACAGGTGACTCTGAACCCATAGAAGCAGATGCTTTGAACAGATAAATGTGTGGATGTGCTAAAACGTTCTAAAGCTGAACAGAATAAAAACTGAAGTTATAGAGGGACGATGTAGAGTTACAGATCTAGAGTTACAGATCTAGAGTGAGCAGACAGCTTCAATTATTACAGCTGGAAACTAAAGATCAGCCTGAAATCTGGGTGTAGTGATGAACTCTGACCTGAACTTACAGAGTCATATAAAGACAGTTACAAAGTCGGCCTTGTATACTGGAGAACATTTCCAGAATAAAGGACCAATGTCTAGCAAGATCAAGAGAAACTCACCTTTGTGATTATCTTTACTTGCATTGATAGTGAAGGCTTTGATTAATAAAGCAAGTAATATACATTTTTCTCGTAATATTTTTTTTTCTCTAGCTTTTTTTCGATTCAGTAAGTCATCAGCTGAAGACCTTGAGGGCTATTACATTATTTAGTATGAATAACTGTCTCTTTTTTTCTTTTTTTATTATTCAACTAGAACAAGACATATAGACTGGACTAGAAACATGACTTATGATCCCACTCGTTATTATTTTCAGCTTTTTGTGTTTTGTCTTTTGTAAGTAAGAGTGTGAATATGTGTTCCTATATTGTTCTTTAACAATAGGAGGCTGTGTGCTCCTATTTATCACCTTTTCTCTGGTATGAATTGTATGCATAATTACATTTTTGCTTTGATTTCACAATGTAAAAGTGAATTCTATTAAAGGCATGCATATGATCCATTTGAACATTAAGATTTGATGCCTAAAATTAACTTCTTGAGATGGGGGCTTACTTATAAGGTAATTACTCTTTCTGAAACTTGGTTAAACAGTAATATTTCAACTGATAAAATTATGAATGACAATGTAATATTTTGAAAAGATGCATCAGTTTAGAGAAGGTCTTCTATCCTTAAATTTGACAGAACTCATTCTGTCTGTCATTTGTTTGTTGAATGCCTTTTTATTAAAATTACTCTACATCGTAATAAACATCTTCTCATAGGAAATAAAAGTGCATTAACTCTCTAGACTGCATTATTGAAAAACATCATCCATCTATTTTCCAACACGCTTATATTTATGGGGTTGTGAGGTGTGCTGGTGCCTATCTCCAGAGATCAGTCAAACTGAAGGTCATGATTTTGGACTGTGGGAGAAAGCTGGAGTGAGAACCCACACACGTAATTTTTATTACCACCTCTTTCTACCACGAAAACCTTTTATTGAAAAACATTTTCTTAAATCTGTCATTTTCCATTAAGCAAATTTATTCTCGTTATTCCAGTTTGCGCAATTTTATGGTCAACGAAAACATGACTTATACGTATATACATATACTTATACATATACGTAATGATGGTGAGGCGACATAGGAAATTTCACTGCTGTATAGTGGTGCCCAAGTCCCATCCTCACAATGTACTATCCTTCAACTCTGCTCAAACACACGTGGATCCAATGGCTGAGTTCCCTTAGTGGTTCATTAGATTCAGCTGTGTTGGAGAAGGGATGCTTCTAAAAGTTGCAGGATTGTAGTACTCAAGGCCTGGACCTGGGCCTCACTCTACACACAGTCTATTAAGGCCCAGGTGGAAAAATGATTAGCTAATTTTTCAGTAGAACCAGCCTTTGTTTGGATTACAAGTGTTCATCAGCCTGAGTTGTGTGAATCTTCATTGGTGCAGACAAAGTGTTTGCATTAAGTAATGCTTTTATTGAGTCACTGCTGGAGCATTTGAGAAGCTTAATTTCTATAGAACTGGTTTCCTTTTGGTGTTAGGGAGGCTTCTTAATGTCGCCACAACATTTTCTAACAATTTTGACAGTCTTAGTGAATAATCACATTACATATTTGATCAGTTTCAAATGTTTAAAAATGGCTTACAGCTATGTATGTGTAACACAAGACCAAAAGTCAATAGATTGGACTATGAACATTTTAAAACATAAATGTTTTAAAAACTGCTGTTTTAGTAGATGTGGGACAAATCTAAACTCTAACTAAAACTTTATCCATCCGTCTATCAGAGTGAAACAGCCACCTGCTGAGGGAACCAAGTCAAATCCATCCAAACGGCACAGAGACCGGCTTAACGGCGAACTGGAGCAACTGGCCAGCCTGCTACCATTTTCTGAGGAAGTCACTGCTAGTCTGGACAAACTATCCATCCTACGGCTGAGCGTCAGCTACCTACGAGCCAAGAACTTCTTTTCTGGTGAGCTTACACACCAAATTGGGTTTCTGACATAATTTGATGTTTTCGTAGTTGTTTGTACTTCGGCCCTGCAACAGTGTCTCTTTAGTAAGACAAGAACTCTCCTGTGGTATGAACATGGAGATAACCTTGATGTTCTGTGCATTACTTTCTACTTTCTGTGGTAAACCTCTAACTTAGTCAATGTTTGTCGTATTTTTTTGTCTGGAAAAATTGACAGCAGCTTTTAAGTGATGTGTAGGTTTGAGTGTTTTTTTGCAGATGAAGCTGTTTTTGTGTTATATCTTGTGGAATGTGAATATATATGTCATCTCAGAGCTTTATGGAGGTTACCATCAATGTTGATGTTTAAACTGGTTTCATTAAGCCTTCAAATGACACCTTTTAGAGATACCATCTAACAAGATTGTTATTTATGGAGATTGTTATTTATTTTCCTTAAGAAGTGAACGGAGTAGCCTCAGAGGAGCTACTTGTGTTTTCTCCACTGAAGATGTAACTTCATGTGAAAATACTGCAATGCGGCCACTGGAGGCTCTGGGAATATGAATAATGGAGAGAAACCGTGAAGTTTAAACAATTTATGAAATGATGGCACAGCCATGTTTGTTTAAGGAAACAGCTCTTTGAAATGGCTGTTTGGACTGAAGCAGACAGGATGCAGCTGCACTGATACGAGCAGTGCTTCTTCTCTTCTGTGTGGCTGCTGCTTCTATGCCCTGAAAGCAGATAGCTACATGTCTGCAGTTTTTCATTCTTTTATAGAGTAATGCAAAACCATTTCACATGTATTTGGTGAAATGGTTGTCACATAGAAATATTGACATTGGAGTTCAAAGTGAATAATTAAAGTGCAAACTGTGAAACGAGCTCTTGTCTATCAACGGTAGCTTACTTCCTGCTGTCTTTAAGTAACTAACAAGCTCAGGGCTGTTATATTAGGGCAGCAGATTTGCTGTGCAGCGCTCAGGACCATGTGGCTGTTGTTCCAGGCTTTCTGACAAACCCAGTGTAATCAGTTGTGTGTAAACAGCACTAGTTCTGTGTTTCAGTCGTTTCCAGAAGTGGACAGTCTGATCAGCAAAGTCTTAGCTGGGATGCACTCCAGAATTGGTGCCAGAGCCTCAAAGCATGAGTCTGTTTGGTGTTTACAGGAGCTGTGGAGGACCAGGAGAAGTCAGCGTTCATCAGCTTTTAAAACATGACCATAGGTTGTTTGTTGTGTTTGCATTAAAATGTGGTGCCAGAGGTGAACAGAACTCTGGTGTATATTCTGGCAAATAGAATTATCCCACCAGGTGGCCATGTTTGTTATACTTTAGCGCTACAGAAGGAGAAAGGATCAACCCATGTTTAAAATAAAAGTAGCATTAAAACCCTCAGTGATGACCAAAATGATAAGGTAGTTTTTATTGTGTACCAAATATAAGCATCTTAGAAAAATCGACTGTCAAGGAGCACAGTGTTATTGTAGCATAGCGCCTAATGCTAAGTCAGGTAACCTTTTGGTGAATGTTATAGAGCATATTGTCTGATTTGTCTGTTTTAAGTTGTTAATCATTACTTGGAGTATAAATACTGCTGCAAAAGGCCTAAAAGCATCAATGTAGTAGATAAACATCCTGGAAACCTTCACAATAAGAGCCAAAAATTATATAAACTCCTAGCAATGCTGCAATGCTGCATAACAAAAGAAAAAAAACAATAGTCAATAGTTTTTTCACCTTTGAAGTCAAAAAACAATTGGTTGACTGACAATAGCTGTTGCTTATGCATATTTTGATGAATATACCTTTTTATTTTGTAACTATTTTAGCAGAACTTACAAGTGTTCTTCAAATGAGTGTAAATATGTGCATGTACTGTAACTCTCTACATGTTGCCTACGGCATGTAAGCTGTCATGGCAGCAGGTGTTAGTCGCCTCAGTGTGCACTGGGTGAAAAAGGAACAAAGCCAAATGATTTAGGAAATGACAACTGGACTGACAGGTTTTGCTTATCCTTCCTGCCGTCTTAGCGCAATAATTAGAAAGAGCATGGAAAATGTCATGGTGGGACAGAAGGGAAGGGATAGTAATGGTTTCGGTTTGACCATTACTTTCTGAAAGCACACACAAAAAATATTGTAAAAGCTCACATGGGGTCAGTGTGACCCTGGTGTGCCGCACACAAAGTGACAATCTCATAGGGTCTAAATGACCACGTCTCTTCCCTACGCTACAGCTGGGTCACCACTACAAAGTCTCCCACCAACACTAAGGCTAGTTAGAATGGCCACCCATGATGGTGGATAAACAGTTTCCCTGGAAATGGTATATTGTTTCTCCGCCATTTGCATATTGAGCAACCTACATACAGTTGATTGACAGTAGCTTTTTTTCCCCTCCAGCATTGTGCGCATGTGCATGATTTCCAGATATAACGATAACATGCAGGGGCTCCATGGGGTATGTATGACTGGGTGGAGGTGTACATTATGTATGTCAACATTGTACTGCTGTTCAGATGCTATCGTTAGGTTTTTTTATGCTAGTTTTACATGTGTCCTTCACTCTGCATGGAGTTTGTAACTGTTAGACAACATGCTAGTTCTAGCATACATGCTATACTATTACATATGCTATACTACCATACTATTTTAGCTATGTTAGCATTTCAGCTAATTGTAGCTTTTTTTAATGTTTTTTTTTTCTCTCTGCCTGGGGTATGTTCCTGTAGGTCAACATGCTAATGCTAGCCTAGATGCTATCATTGGTATTTTTGCTAGCATTTCAATTTTAGCTAATTTTAGCTTTTACATGGGTTTTTTTTCACACTGCATGGGGTACTTTGCTGTAGGTCAACTTGCTAGTGATAGCTTACAAGCTATCATTAGTATTTCAGCTAGCTTTAGCTTTTTATCTCATTTTACCTTCTAAACTGCTATGACCTTACAGCATAGGTTGGAAAGCAGTGTTATGCAGCAATTTTAATGGTCTGTGGGTTGGGTGTTTGCACTCACTGAAAGTATGGAAAAATTGAAGGGTACAAATACCTTTGCAAGCCACTGTATGTTCATGAGCTCAGTGCAATGAGAAATTTTATCACTGCCATTCTCAGTTGAGCAGAATAATTCACACTAGCATAGTAATTTGTTTTTCCACAGCAATGATCAATGCTCACTGACAGAAAAAAACAGCTGACATGTTAATTATGTTGTAGAAACTTATAAAATGAGCATCAACATATTTAAAAACACAGCCACAAAGAGAATATGTCACTTGTCATTTCTGTTAGACTGCCAATGTTGGTTCTTATCTGGACAGTAGTTCCTGATTAGCTGCAAATAGGTGCAGATTAACACCTGAACTGAGCCTAACCTGACATAAGCCTTTAGAGGCAGCATGCAGTCTAATGTCTCTTCTCTCTGTGATCTTATTACAGTAATTCTTTGGTGATGCTGCAGCTTTAGGTACAAACACATTTTTTCCAATGTGAAACATTAACATGCAAATGTTATTGATTGAAACAAATCAATAAATGTAGTACCGGATAATCATTGCATTGTTTTTAACAGTTTGTTTGTATTGGAGACATGTTTACTCACTGAAAATGATGAACATCCCCCAGACAACATATGTACGTAGGTGATGTATATGTATATATGGTCGCGGGTAATTTTCACCATGCAGGTTTGAAGTAGTGCTCCCTAAATTCCACCAGCACATTAAAAGTTGAAGGGTACAACTTTTAATGTGCCCTTGCACCCTTCAATAGTTCCCCTTGCGTCTTAGCTATTTGTAATCTTCTCCTAGTTTCTTACAGTTTGAATTGCTTTTTATGGTAGCAAAAATGGACAATTTAAAACTCAAGAATTATTAGTTTTCAATGATTGCAGAAATGAAATTTTAGGCACTAACTTGAGCCAGAGTGATGTACACCCGCCAGCAGACAGCCAGTGTTGTTTTGTCAGTGAAAGTTGAAGCGTCTGTCTGGACATCAGTGGGGATGCAAAGTTTGCTCTGTGTCTTTTCCCATAAAAGTGATTCTTAAAGCAATCTGTTATCAGACCTCATCACATCTTCTTCCCACTGCTTTGTGATGTAACCTGAATGTGGGTGAAGGATCTAATCTAACCATCAGCATTACTGTGCAGCTGAACAGTCAGTGCCCGGGAACCCTTCCTCTTCGTAGGCTTAACATGCTGGCCTAATGCTGTCTGCGCATGTAGCACCATTTCATAATTCATGTGATCTGATAGTGTTGTATGAACAGACTGCTGCTAAAGCAGTATTTGTTATATAATTCATCAGAAAATAAAGTACTTCTTCTAACCTATCAATGCATCTGTGTGTGCTGTTTTTCAGGTATAGACTAGGTGTAGGACTGATGTGTAAATTGAGTTCAGGTCAGGATTAGACTGTAGAAATGAATGAAAACTGAATATTAGGCAATGCAAAGTCCACACACACACACACACACACACACACATATATATATATATATATATATATATATATATATATATATATATATATATATACATATATATATATATATACACACACATATATACACACACATATATATATATATATATATATATATATATATATATATTTTTTTTTTAATTCAAAATTCCCTTCTCACCCACCGCGGGTGGTTCTTATCCTCTGAACTCGGGTCCTCTACCAGAGGCCTGGGAGTTTGAGGGTCCTGCAGTATCTTGGCTGTGCCAAGGACTGCACATTTCTGGACTGAGATGTCTGATGTTGTTCCTGGGATCTGTTGTAGCCATTGCTCCAGTTTGGGGGTTACTGCCCCGAGGGCCCCGATGACCACAGGCACCACTGTGGTCTTCACCTTCCAGGCCCTCTCCAGTTCTTCCCTGAGGCCCTGGTATTTCTCCAGTTTCTCGTGCTCTTTTTTCCTGATGTTGCAGGCACTTGGTATTGCTAGATCTACCACAACGGCTTTCCTCTGTTGTTTATCCACTACGACAATGTCTGGTTGGTTCGCCATTACCATTCTGTCTGTCTGGATCTGGAAGTCCCACAGGATCTTAGCTCTGGCGTTCTCCACCACCTTTGGGGGTGTTTCCCACTTTGATCTCGGGGTTTCCAGTCCATATTCTGCACAGATGTTTCTGTACACTATGCCTGCCACTTGGTTATGTCGCTCCATGTACGCTTTCCCTGCCAGTATCTTGCACCCTGCTGTTACATATATATATATATATATATATTATATATATATATATATATATATATATATATATATATATATATATTGAGCTGGACTCAAGGACAGCAGAGAGGCCCTCATCCTGGCGCCCAGGAACAGGCCCTAAACACCAGAGCAATAGAGGCCCAGATCTACCACACCAGACAAGACCCAAGGTGTAGGTTGTGCAAGGAGGCCCCTGAGACAGTCCAGCACATGCATGAAGAACTGGAGAGGGCCTGGAAGGTGAAGACCACACACACACACATATATATATATATATATATATATATATATATATATATATATATATATATATATATATATATATATATATATATATATATATATATATATATATATATATATATAGTCCTTGTGGGAGTCTCACTCCCACAAGGAACAATAGCAGACATAGAGGACAGTTACAAGTACCTAGGTATACCACAAGCAAATGGCAACCTCGATGAGGCCACAAGGAAAGGAGCCACAGCTAAATACCTCCAACGAATAAGGCAAGTCCTGAGAAGCCAGCTCAATGGCAAGAACAAAATCCGTGCGATAAACAGCTATGCCCTGCCAGTAATCAGATACCCTGCTGGAATAATTAGCTGGCTAAAGGAGGAGATAAAAGCCACAGATATTAAGACTAGAAAGCTACTAACCATGCATGGAGGGTTCCATCCCAAATCCAGCACCCTGAGATTGTACATGAGCTGCAAGGAAGGAGGCAGAGGACTAGTGAGTGTGAGAACCACTGTCCAGGAGGAAACATCTAAGATCCATAAATACATCAGGGACAAAGCCTCAACAGACAATGTGCTCAGTGAATGTCTCAGACAACAGGAACGGAGGTTGAGGTGCCAGAGATACCATCATGGGAGGACAAGCCCCTACATGGGATGTACCACCAGCAAATAACCCAAGTGGCTGATATCAGTAAATTCTTCCAATGGCTGGAAAAAGCTGGACTCAAGGACAGCACAGAGGCCCTCATCCTGGCCGCCCAGGAACAGGCCCTAAACACCAGAGCAATAGAGGCCCAGATCTACCACACCAGACAAGACCCAAGGTGTAGGTTGTGCAAGGAGGCCCCTGAGAAAGTCCAGCACATGCATGAAGAACTGGAGAGGGCCTGGAAGGTGAAGACCACAGTGGTGCCTGTGGTCATCGGGGCCCTCGGGGCAGTAACCCCCAAACTGGAGCAGTGGCTACAACAGATTCCAGGAACAACAACAGACATCTCAGTCCAGAAATGTGCAGCAGTCCTTGGCACAAGATACTGCAGGACCCTCAAGCTCCCAGGCCTCTGGTAGAGGACCCGAGCTCAGAGGATAAGAACCACCCGAGGTGGGTGAGAAGGGAATTTTATTTTATTTATATATATATATATATATATATATATATATATAATATATATATATATATATATATATATATATATATATATATATATATATATATATATATATATATATAAAATTTGCATTTGTGTGTGTATGCTGAGCTGTGGTAGCCCTTTGGAGGAATTCCAGGATAACATGTAGGGATTGGGCTGGAAATGTAAGCAGCACCAGCTCAGAATGTTCCAGTTAATCCTGTTGTAGTTAGTATGATGAACAAATTGAAAGTGGTGAAATATTTGCTAATATTTGTAGTGTTTTCTGGATTATTGGAAACTACAGGACAGCCTTGAGTTGATATTTTTCATTTATGTGCTGATAAAAACTAGTGGTCAATGAATTGATAAACATTGCCCAGAATTTCAGTTGGTTCAGTATTCTGAATGCATCATCTCCAGATCCATCTCCACACAGCAAATAAGACCTGTTGCTAAAAATCTTTACTTGCTAAACTTCTGAAAACTTGTGCAGCGTCCTTCGCTCTGAGGTCCAGCTCTACTTTCATCCTTTCCACTCTTCCACTGTGAAACTCAAATCTTTCAGTTACCATGGCTACTGGCTCTGAATTGCCCTATGGGCCTGAGCCCAGATTTATTCATTCTAATCTCAAAATCACTTGTTGAGAAGGACTTACTCTAAATGATTTCTATATTTTCTCTCCTACCACAATGTCTTCAAGTCATTTCTGCATGTATTTTATGTTTCAAGCTAAGCTAAGCCTTGGAAACACAACATCTCGGTTGTCAGGAGTCAGGAGTAATGTAACCTCTTTTTCAATGTATTAAATCATGAGCCCAGATATTTAGCCTTCTGCCTTCCAAGACAGTCTGCTGGTTTGACTGTAATAATCTGCAGAAAATTTCCACTTCCACCAAAATGACCCCGACTATCTGTTGTCATCATCTTTGTATCAGAATCTTCTATTATTTTTGTACTTTTATTTAATGAATGGTTTAATTCAGATTTGGGAAAATCATTAAGGGAGATGACAATTGTTTAATAGTTTTATGAGAAAAGGCGAGTGTGTGTCTGCTACTTACAGACAAAAGCTTAAAACAAGAAATCTCACCAGAACCTGATAAAATGTGACAAGCTGTGTTTGTTTTTGGGTCACTGCTTACATGTCAATCAGGGTGCCATGGCAACCCTCCACTAACATGTCCTGACCCCAGTCTATGTTCACCACAGATGAGTGGGCAGATCAGAAAAAAGCAGTTTACTGAAGTCCTAAAGAAGAATAATGAATTTGCACCAAACCCCGGGCAGCAATGCGTAACTCATTATTCATGCAAGCAGTGCATGCAAGAGTAATGTAACCTCTTTTACTAACTTCATCATCAAACAGGATGGCTTAATTTCAGAGACTGAGCAAACACAATAAATGTGTAAATAAATAAATAAGTGTATGCAGTTTTTTGAGAATCCAAAAGCTACTTAAACAGCTCTACCAAATTTATGAGAAACCTATGTATGAATAAGTTTAAAGATTAGGCTGGTTACACTTCCAACTCACATCTATAGCATGCTTTCTTGTACCTGCTTGGACTCTTAACATCGCACCATCCCTGACATTGATTTCCTGTTAACCTTATGTTCTTAAAATAAAAGATCTGGCTCAGAATTAGTTACCAATCACGTCATACTTCAGCCTCTGGGTCAGGGGTCTTCACAGGTCATGACTTGGTGTTCCTGGGGGACCAGAGATCAATGATCAATGCAACCTTTCTCATCCCTCCATCCAATCACTTGAGCAGAGAGGTAACTAACCATTAGTGACAAGTAAGAGTTATCATTCTAGAAGTTTGTTTCAGATTTGTAGAGCATGACTCTGAATGTTGCTTCTCCGTGTTTGATTCTGGTTCTGGATGAAGAGCTGACCAGAACCAGAACCGGAGAGGTTTGGAAGGTTGATGCAACAACAGCAGATCTTTAATGTATTGTGGTGCTAAACTGTTGAGTGATAAATAAACTGACATTATTTTAAATGTAATGACTTTAGAACTGGGTGATGTGCTCTATTTTCCTGGTCTTAGTGAGAACACCAGCAGCAGTTTTCTGGATTGGCTGCAGCTTGATACACATGCTGGTCTCTGTGTTTGCCCCTACAGTTGCCCTGAGCAGTCAGAAGGGAGCCACTGGAGCCAGAGGGAACATTGAGAAACCAGGAGGTGGAGAGAAGCAGGTGCGTGAAGGAGAGCTGCTGCTGCAGGTCAGTACTTCTCTTCATACAGGATGGATCTGTTGTTTGTACCATTCTGTACATCTACTTTCACAGATTATGAGTTGTTACTATGCGGATGACACACAGCTCTACATTATGATGTCACCAGGTGACTCTGAACCCATCCAATCACTGAATAAATGCTTAGAACAGATAAATGTGTGGATGTGCCAAAACTTTCTCCAGCTGAACAGAAACAAAACTGAAGTCATTATTTTTGGACCTAAAGAGGAACAATCTAGAGCTACAGATCTAGAGCTATAGATCTAGAGTTATAGATCTAGAGCTATAGATCTAGAACCTTTTTGTCATGTTGTCCTAGAGCTATAGATCTAGAGCTATAGATCTAGAGCTATAGATCTAGAGTTATAGATCTAGAGCTATAGATCTAGAGTCAATGCACAGCTTCAGTTATTAAAATTAAAAACTAGAAATCAGCCCGAAACCTGGGAGTAGTGATGGACTACCTTGCGAGTCACATAAAGACAGTTACAAAGTCGGCCTTCTATCACCTGAAGAACATCTCCAGGATTAGAGGACTAATGTCTCAGCCAGATCTAGAGAAACTCATCCATGTGTTTATCTTTAGTCGCATTGATTATTGCAACAGCGTCTTCACAGGCCTGTCCAACAAATCAATCCTCCAGCTGCAGTGATCCAGAAGCTGCTGCTCCTGTTCTCACTAAAACCAGGAAGATAGAGACATAACAGCAGTTTTAAAGTCGCTCCACTGGCTCCCTGTAGCTCAAAGAATAGACTTTAAAATACTGTTGTTAGTTTATAATCACTGAACGGTTTAGCACCACAATACATCAAAGATCTGCTGTTGTTGTATCAACCTTCCAGACTCTCAGGTTCTGGTTCTGGTTCTGCTCTGCATCCCCAGAACCAGAACCAAGAGAGGAGAAACAGCTTTTAGCATCTATGCACCAAAAATTTGGAACAAATTTCCAGAAAACTGTAAAACAGCAGAAACCCTGACTTCCTTTAAATCTCAAGTAAAACACACCTGTTTAGAATTGTATTTGAAATGTAATATGGAACAATGTATTGTTTATTCTATGATGCATGACTTTGTGTTTTTGTGTTTATGATGTAAAGCACTTTGAAATGCCTTGCTGCTGAAATGTGCTATACAAATAAAATTTGATTTGATTTGATTTGATTTGATGTTTTGATTTAGGTTTTTTGGAGGGTGTGGATAGTGATGATTGGTTCTGGCTCTCATGTTCCCTTGTGACCCTGCCTGCCTTGCTCTGAGAATTTGAAATGTTACACTTTACTCAAACAGATCAGCTCTTAAGCACAAAAACTGGATAAACTGCACCTCACAATAACGAACGTCAGATGTCTACAACCGAATGAAACAGGTTATTATTTAAAATATTTTATCCAATTCAAACTGCTGTCAACAGTTTTCTGTCGTTTTATAAATGAGTATTTTCTGCACATAGTGAGTGAAAGTAAACTTAAAGCTTTATACAGGAAATTGCCTTCATTTTCTGTTAAATTTCACTTTTTTATTTCATTACCATTGCTCCATCCTGATTGGACCTTTTCAGCACTTGTCTGCTACGTCAGATAACTGAGCATTTCTGTCTCCCTTTGAACCTGAGAGAACGGATCCTTTCTTAATCCTGATAACCCTGAATGCATCTGCATCTATTACTCCAGAAGAAAGACTCAGTGGCTGGTTGCTAACATGTACTGGGAAGATCACATTGTGTCACCTACCAGCTGTGTTGCTGTTTCTGTGTTTAAAACTGTTGGTCTTATTAAACTTGAACATGTTTTGAAGAAAACCCACCAGAAACTAATCTCATGGAGTTTCTCTTTAGTGCCTGTGTCACTCAGTTGAACAAGCTCACTGGCACAGCGGTCTTTTGGGTTTTGGTGCAGTCATTTCATTGATTTTCCACTCCAGTTCCTTCAAATGTGCATCAGCCTAGCATTCCAGGGAAATGGAGGGAGAAGACTACCAAATATTTTCCAACTGGAGCAGGGAGGTTTAGTTGTTCCTCATATGGGTAATAATGAGAATACAAAGCTCATTTAGAGAAACAATATTCCAATCAAGTTATGGCTGGACATTGATAAATTTCCTGGCTGAACCTGTGTTGAACTGGTTTGCCTTGACATCAGATGAGAGGAACTGTGAGCCATCCAGTCAGTCAACTCCGCCTGTAGGAAATCTTTCAGATTTATCCTCTCCTTGCCTGGCTTACCAACCAGGGGAGCAAACGGAAACACATATGAGCAACACTTGGACCAAAACTCTCCCATGAAACCTGATGACCTCTTTATTGACTTTTCAATTGGAGTGGTGCAAGCCACGTCTTCATCTGCAGACTGAGTCCCATGATAAACAGGTGGGAGATGAATGGGTAATGTACTGGTGTGAGGACATGTAGCCTCAGTCATATCAGTGCCTCCAGCTCTCTCGAAGAGCTGAAGGACTCAGCTCCTCTACTGACTGACATTTGCAGTCTTCTGTTTGCTTTGGATGAGAAATGGCAGATCACGAGATGAGTGTGTACCACCTAACCCTAAACCCATGCTGCCGGACAGTGGTCAGCACAAATTGGTTTAGTGATGTGAAAAAAATGTTTTCTTTAAAAAGAAGTAATAAGTATGTTCCATTTCCCTCAAGGTGCCCCCTCATCTCCCTTCTCAGTCTCATTGCTGGTGAATTATTATCCTTCATTCATGCAGAAGAGTTATAGATATACAAAATTGTTAGGGTTTTTTTTTATAATAGCATTACGAGAAGAAAACATGCTGCTTGTACTTCTGGTATGAAAATGAAATATGGAGATCATTAAGTCATATCACACAGTTATACGAGAATCTCATATTTGTCTATAATCCATTCACCCTTCCTCGTCTTTTGTTCTTTAGTTCTGACAACATGACATTAATATAATATTTTATTTAGGAAAACAGGTCTGTGAACATATTTGACTCCTTTTTGAACCATCTATTGTCCATGGAAGAACATGAGGTTAAGCCTGGTACTGTATGAACTAGGGAAACAGTATGTGTTAGGCTCCCCCAAGTTTGACTCTGGTTGATGTCACTTTGGTTCCTGGATGCCTTTCTCTCACTCTGGTACATAACAAAGTCACTTCTTGACAGTTTCTCAACAGTCCTTATCAGTCAACTTAGAGTCAAACTGCCATGCAGGTGAAAAACACATAAATAACCTGGTTTGGGCCAGTTATAAAGATAATTAAAAACATTTGAAACATTTGGAAAGACATTGAACTACTAAATAATGTTCTGGTTACGAGTCTGAAAACAAACACAGAAACCATACAGTTCCACTTGTACACTCAATTGAATTGAAAAGTACATGGCGATGAATATTCATGAATATGTATCTTAATTTTAGTCAACATATTTAATCACACATTTAACCAAATTTAAAACAAATTTGATTTGGATGCAGCAAAGTCTCCTTCTGCAAATATGAGTCGAATATGTAGCATTTTTGAATCGTAATTGGGGTTTGCACAAAATCAATGCAATCACAAATGGACCCCGGGCCACAGTTTGAACACCCCTGATTTAGGTTAATGAAAGTTAAAGGAGAGTTTAACCTGATTGGCTGCGAATGGATCCATGTCTCAGTCCTTCTCTTCTGCAAACCAGAACGAATCCCCTGGAAGACAAACAGAAATAACTTCATGAGCATCAAGTGATTCGTCAAAAATATCTGAAATGTTTTGGAAGTCAACCAGCATCTTTGTGTGAACTGTTGGAGAGCGACAAACAACAATAACATTGCTGTTTACTTTCACAACATTAACAGCAATAGCTCTAATGTGCAACGTTCCACAGACACCGAGAATGTGTTTTTAATAAACAGAATCAAGAATCTTTAACGTCAGTAAATCTTGATTTCAGAACCCTCCCTTATGGTTTTCTTTATATATTAACAACATATTTCTTCATTACTGTTGCAGGAATTTCATTAGAAGCTACATAAATTAAAATCACCATGATGGAAATCCAAAGGTGCCAATAATCATGAACAATTAAATATCCCGTTTACTGATGTTTTTGATTGGTTTAATTTATTAATAATACTGCTTAGACCAGTCAACATAATCAATGACATCAACATGAGCACTTTACGTCACAAGTCAAACTCGAGGCCCGTGGGCCAAATCTGACCCTCCATAGCTTTTTATGTGGCCCTGTAAATTCTAGACTAAATGTGTGATTATATATTATGTTATCAATCAAATCAATGCAGTTTTTCCTGTTTACTGATAAATTACAGCAACCAGTCCCTCCAGTTTCTTGAGAATTATTATGCAAAATCGTCAAATTCCTGCACTTTGTTGCGTTAAAACATAATTGAGAGTTTATTGCAAATTTTTCACAAAAGTTGTCTTACCTGTACTATCGGGCTTTTAGAGGTCGTTTTTCGAATTATGTCGCCATGGTAACTCCAAATCCCACCACAAGTAATTGCTCCAATGTTGGGATCGAGCCGCAAGTTTTGACACCACATTTGTGGGTAGGCACACAGTGGTGAGCTGCATTAACGTTTATACCTTCTATAAATGAAGACGATAATAATAATGCTCTCTCTATGCATTGCTATGGGCAGGCCCCAATTACATCTTTTCAACATTAGTTAATCGGCTACAATTGAATGATAGTCTGATGGTTAATCCAACATCAATCGTCAACCTTAACCAGAACAAGTCTTTCTGACCAAAATTCAATGTTGAATTATCATCGCTTGCTATTTGGGAAGTCTCTCTCAGGTTTTAATTCAATTTGTGAGTAGATTATCTGTATCTGTATTTATGTAGAAAGGTAGTATGGCCTGATATGTAAAAGCCAACATCACAGTTTCAGTGGTTTCTGACATGTTGATCCAATTCCACTCGTGTCATATAAACCAAGGGTGTGTGGCTTTTTGTCCTGCAGGCTCTCAGTGGGTTTGTCCTGGTCACTAGTGCAGATGGAACCATTTTCTATTCATCTCACACCATCCAGGACTACTTGGGCTTCCATCAGGTATTCTTCACCTTGAATCTGCTCTGTTTGAATGTCAGAACCAGAATATGGAGGCAGGGGGAGTAGAGAGCGGAGGGTGGGTTACAACCCTCAGAAGTGTTTAAGAATTATTCTACCGGTGGAAGATGAAGGTATAAGCAGGCAGAAAAAAACAATGACTTATAAGCGATTCTATGTAGACATACATAAAAAAAGTCTATTATGCAATATAGTTTCCACCAGTCATTGGTTTGGCATTAAGGCTGATACTTAATGAGGAATGTATATGCAACATGTGGGTGGGATCACTGCATTTTCTATTTATATCTTGGTTTTTCTTATTTGAGCCACAGGAACAGCTGTCCTCTGCAGACAAAAACATGGTGGTGCATGCTAAGATCCCAACAAAAACGGGCCAGAGAACCAAACTGAACATGCATAGCTGCTTTTCTCTTTAGCTGGAGCCTCTGGGGGTGATGTCACTATAACGGTGTCTTTGCTATAACTAGTGATTGTCCCATCACTGGAGCCCACATCCCAAACTCAGCAATAATCTGTTTATCTAAAGGAATTCTGTGTGTTCATGTTTATGTATCCTGGTTTTCTTTAGAGATTTGGGCAACCACATTTTCTGAAACAACATGCTACATTTCCACTGGAGGCAGGAAGGACCTCGTGGTTTGAAGTTCCTGCACAGATGTAGAAAACCTTGGCCCATGCCAATCGCAAACCATTTTACACTCCTTCATATCCCATGTCACATTGTTGTCTATCTGCGAGGCATTTCAGTGGTGCAGGAAGACATGCTGTGTCTTTTATGATTGTGTATCCTCTTTCTACTTGCCTCATGTACTCAGTTAATTCCTTCACGTACTCATTTCTTTCCTCGTTAGACTGATGTCATTCACCAGAGTGTGTATGAGCTTGTCCATACAGAGGACCAGCAGGAGCTGAGAAGAAACCTGCACTGGGCTTTGAATCCTCCCCAGGCTGCAGCGTCTGCCATGTCCCACGACTCCCCCCAAGGTGACCACTCTCCTCTCTCCTCTCTTTATGATCTTGATAAGTCTTTACACTGTACAAACAGAAACAAGCTTGATCATCTACTCTATTATTTTTGTTTTCCTTTCTTAAGACGTGGGTTTTTATACTTCCTATGACTTGTTTGAGGGTGACACATTCTCATATGTGTTCTTTGATACTTGACATAGTTTTACAAAACCGTTAAATCAGTTTGTGTGTACCCAATGCTCTGGTGGTGATTTTTGGTTCTAGCTTTTTACCTCTGAGAACAAACAGACAGACATTATTATGAGATGGTTAAGCACACAGCATTAAGCTGTGAGGCCAGCCCCAGCTCCAATCACATGACTCTGTAATCTTCACTGTGGCTTATGAGTTGAAGTGGTCCTAGATCTGTATTTAGGTTTTAAGATGCTTATGTGTGTGTGGGTGTGTGTGTGTCCCCTTTGGTGGGGAGCTTTGTATTTTGGTTCAGATAAACAGTTCTAACACATCCAAGGTGCAGCTAGTCTGAGGAAAACCTGGTTGCTCAATATATTCAGAGAGATGCAACTTAGACAGAACAAAGTCTAGCTTAATATGAATATGAATATGAATATGAATATGAATATGGAGTCCATCACCTCAACACACAAAACATATCAAAATGGTGAGCTAAAACTGAATTTAGGAATGCCTTGTCATAAAATAAAAAACTACCAAGTACTGAACATTGCAAAAATGAGAAACTAAAATTAAGAAAGTTGTTATTTCAGTGGATTCTCAAAAATAAAACATACAAATTGATTTGTGTTTTGTTGCCATAGAGATGGAACTGGACAGCAGCTCTTTGGTCACCTACAACCCCAAGCAGCTTCCACCAGAGAACTCTTCATTCTTAGAGAGGAATTTTGTGTGTCGCTTCCGCTGCCTGCTAGATAATTCCTCTGGCTTCCTGGTGAGTTACACAGTCTGGAGACCACAGGCCAGTGTTGCTTCCGGACTATCTGCCTGCTTTAGCAAGGGTTTGGATAGAACATTTCAATGAAAGATGTACAGAAATGTATCAGGAGGTATCTTTCTTGTATGGAAAATGAATGAATATCTCACCAATTTACTATGTTTTTAGCTAAATAATTTGTTTAAAGAGTAAAATGTGACATCTTCAAAATCAAAGTATTTTAACTTCATACCTCACTCTATTCAGAATTCTTCTATTTATTCAGAAATCACTTTTAATATTGATAATCTGAGACTTCCTCAAAAGGCAACATTTTCACTTTATGGTTGAGAATGTATGGAGTATATGGATATGCAGAGGAATTAATAAAGATGAAGAGTTATTATTATGGGGGTTTTAAAGAAAGCCACATTAGTTTACATTCACACACAAAAGGATGGGCCTGTGAGTTTGAGAGGATGTTCTTCTCGTGTAAATCTGCTTCCTGTGTAGGCTCTGAACATCCAGGGCAGGCTCAAGTTTCTGCATGGACAAAACCAGGAGCAAGAAAATGGAGGGAAGGGCATGACTCAACTTGCCCTTTTTGCCATCGCGACTCCTCTGCAGCCTCCGTCCATCCTGGAGATCAGGACCAAAAACATGATTTTCAGGACTAAACACAAGCTGGATTTTACACCCTTGGCCTGTGATGCTAAGTAATGTCACCTTTTGCTGCTTTCAGGGGTCTCGTGCCCATTAGCTGCTTTCTATCTACTAGTGTAAATTGTTGCAGCATAGAACATTAACATAGTACACATTTTAACACGTGTGCTAAAATATGCTAAAATGTGTGCTATGTTCCATAGCACACATTTTAGACTATCAGCTATTAACAGTTCAAAATGGCTTTCTTGCTTGGAAGATTTGAATCATATTGTTCAATTTCCCCAAAACAAAGTTTTGTTAATTGTTGTTTTTTTGGCTTTCAGAGGGAAAATTGTTCTTGGGTACACTGAGGCTGAGCTACGAGTTCGAGGATCTGGCTATCAATTCATCCATGCAGCTGATATGTTGTATTGTGCTGAGAACCATGTCAGAAGTAAGGATATATCAATGGCAGGTCAACCAACACGAGACTTTTGTCTACCAATGCATATATATGGTTTTCCTACAAGAAGTCAACATGCAAGCACACTGTATACACGCATTCTGTGATTACAGTCAGCGTGTATGCTTTGGGTTTTGATGAGTTTCTGACCTTTCAGCTTCAGTCTGGTTCCACCGCATGCTAATGTTTACTTGGTTTGTCATGTGCCACATCAACTGCTTATGTATTTACTATTGAACAACAGAGTAAAAAAGAAGGGGATACACTGGTCATGTTGCTGCTTGAATTTTTTTATAACCAACTGAGCTGTTTACTAATGGAACCAAGTCATTGCATTTTGGAGAAACATCTCTATGGGAATGCTCGGACTAGCACTGTCAATAAGTAGGTAATAATCGAACAGAATATTTAGTCCTATGTGTACTGCAGATAGAGGACATTTGCTGACCTTTTTAATGCCTCTCAAACATTAGAACATCTGTCTGATGTTTCATCATAGTTTAATTCAGTTTTGTTGCCCCTTCTCTGTAGCTGATAGTTGCTTATCATGCTTATGGTAAGTACATCTTCTCTGGATGTACTTACCATGTTAAAATAATGTAGTCATAGTTTCAGTCTTCTAGAGGCAGCTCATTGTTTTGATTATTATACATTATTGTTAAGTTGTGTGTCTGCAATGCTGGTGTGAAAACCTGTGTAACAACTTGTGGCAATAAAAATAGTTAATTTTGTACCAATTTATACAGGAATGATCATCTTTAACAACTTTTTTATTGTATTGAAATATGGATTATTTTGACCCTAGTTAATGGCATAATACACAGTTTTGGAGTACTATACTTGGTTGATATTTCATCAACTAAGAACAATCTGTCTAATCAAATGTAGTTTTAAATTGAAATTGTCAGGGTATACTCAATGTCCCATGTCCAACATCAACTTTTGGTACAGACAGAAGCATATTGCTATTTTACCCTTTGCCCTATTACAAAAGTTGAGACGGTCTGGTCCAGTGTGTTCAGACAGCTTTCATAAGTAATCCTGCTGGATTAGAGAACAGATTGAGCGAAGCTGCGGAGCTGCCAGACTAAAGGATACATCCCATAAATCCACAACATGGGCAAAGCATTAGAGATGATACATACAGCAGCAATGACAACAAGACAAATACACTTGAGTTGAGACACTGTCTGACGGATGTGCAGTCCAAAGGTCTGTGCAGAACAACACTACTGGGAAAACACTAATGCCCTGCAGCTTCTATCCTCAAAAGGTTTATGTAGAAGATCTCTGTTCTATAGTGGCAGGGCCATTTTTAATCTCCACTGATAGAACAGACTTGAGTGTAGTTTCACTTGTTGCCTTATTTCTATCTAGGATCACCAGCAAATGTTAATCATTGGTCACATGAAGAATCAGAAAGTTGTGACCAGAACCAAGGTTCTAAGAACCATTTGAAAACATGAAAAGTTCTAAAGCTAGGACCTTTGTTATTCTAATAGAATATTTCAGTCAGCTTATTTAGATTTTCTTGTTTTGACTCATTATGTTTGTGCTTGTGTGTTTAGTGATAAAGACAGGAGAGAGTGGACTGACTGTGTTCAGGCTTCTCACCAAAGAGAATCGCTGGAAATGGGTCCAGGCCAATGCCCGGCTGGTGTACAAGAACGGCAAACCAGACTACATCATCGCCACCCAGAGGCCGCTTCTGTATGTTTCTGGCTCTGTTTGTTGCTAGTTGTACACAGAAGATGCATTCAAGAAATAATAACCAGAAAAAAACGTATTTAAAATATTTGCTCTGACTGTTCCTTTTAAATGTATGAGCATTAAACACACTGGTTGGAATAGCCATAGAGTTAAACCTAACATGTAGTGCTGGTTGTTGTTTTCACAGTGATGAAGAGGGAGGAGAACATCTGCGTAAGCGCTCCATGCATCTCCCCTTTACCTTTGCCACAGGTGAGGCCTTACTGTACCAGTCCAACCACCCCATCGCGGGCTTCATCGATGGAAGCCAGGAGAAAAACAGCAGCAAGTCCAAGAAAAGCCGAACTGAAAGGTTGGCAAGGGATGGCTTGGATCCTGGTTCTCTTCTTGGGGCTCTCATGAGTCAGGACCAGTCTGTATATGTTTGCCAACCTGTTCTTGAACCCAAAACAGCCTTTCACAGCAGTTTTGTTGGAGAGCAGACACACTTCTCTGTCTCTGAAATTTCAAGACAGAGCCAGAGCTGGGATGTGCCTCATAATGGTGTTTTGGAGCCAGGCATTTCAGAACCAAGCGCCAGCCTTGACCCATTGCTAGCTACCCTAGATTCTCTTACCCTGGAAGGTCACGGTGTGGTGGATGCAGAGGATGGGAGCTGTTCCAACAGTGAGCTGTTTGGAGCCTTGGAAGGACTGGGTCTTAGTGCTGAGGACCTGGAGCTGCTGCTCCTGGATGAGCGAATGATCAGGGTGGAGATGGATTCTGACCATGTGCCTACATTGGATGACCTGTTGACAAATGACGAAATCCTCTCATATATCTACAACTGTATTGAAGGTAGGGCTGTTTTCATGGAACATGGGAGACAGACACTTCCTAGAACAGCAGCAACAATCCCTACCACAGTTTCGGCATCAGAAAATAATCCCAGATCTGGTGTTGATCTGCAGATGCATTTTCCTCACTGTAAGCCCTGCCTGGTGGGACAGACTCCTATTGTGCAGCTGTCACAGCAGATGCAGCAGCACCTCAACATGCGAAAAGGCAAACTTGGCCATGATTGGAGTCAGCATACTAACCAGATGACTAATGGAGAACTGCTGGGGCATAATCCAGCCCTCCACAATGGACACTGGACAGCTCAGGACACTCTCACCCATGCAGGATTGCATCTCCAACACACAAACACTCAGCATATGGTTTTCAGCAACAAGGCCACAGAGCTGGATGGGCAGTTTCTCCAGCAGCAAATGCACCAACAACTCCAACATTATCAGCAGTCAATAACACAGAGGCAGCTCTTCGAGCACTGCCATGTCCAACAAAGGCCAATCACTCTCAATGGAATGTGTGACGCCTTCTCCAACTGGTCCCCAACAAAACCCCAGTGGCAGGATTTTGGTTTCACTGAAAGTCTTGGTAACGACCTCTGCCCAGGCAACAGCCAGAAACCTCATGCAATCACTTCTTTAGACTTGTGCACTAATTACGGAGTGGTAGAAATGCCAAATGTGGATTCCACTGTCAGTGGAAGTGCTTTGTATGGGAAGGTTGGACAGCAAGATGGAAGTGAGTTTACAGTTTCATCTTTCCAGCAGCAGCAAGAAGAAGAGATCACTGTCCCTTTTACTCAGTGCCCTCTCCCCAAAACATCCCTGGAGCAGATCGTGGGAGTTGGAAAACCCTGCAGTCAGCCAGACCACAGTGACAGAATGAGCTCCGAAATTGGCCACGACCCAAGTAACAATAAGGTGAGGCTGCTGATATTTTGATGTTATTGTCGAAATGTTAATCAACTAAATTTTTGTCTATGATATTCAAAGTATTTTCAGCTGTGCAGAGGCTGAGGAAGTATATTTTAACTGCACTACAGTCAGCAATGAGAATATTTGGTTAGGCTTAGGTAAGTGATCGATCTTCACTTCTGAAATTTTTATTCCACTTAGAATAAACAGTGTTGATGCCCTGATCTGGAATTTTTGTCTGATGTACCCTCTGTCATTTTATTTCAATGAATAGAATCAGTCCCATGTCTGTTTCATAACTCATGGGTGTTTGTGTTCAGTTTATCATTGTGGTCAGGGCTGCACAGTGGGGCACTATTGCCTTGCAGCAAGAAGGTCCTAGGTTCCTGGGTGCACGGAGTTTACATGTTCTTGTGCTTGCGTGGGTTCTCTCCTGGTACTCTGGCTTCCTCCTACAGTCCAAAAACATGACTGTTAAGTTAATTGGTCTCTAAATTCTCCTAGGTATGAGTGTGTGTGTGCATAGTTGTTTGTCCTGTCTGTTTCAGTTTTGCCCTACAACCAGGGTGTACCTCACCTCTCGCCAGGAAAGTTAGGCACACAAGGGTGGGACAAGGATGTTAGAAGATGGATGGATGGATGGATGGATGGATGGATGGATGGATGGATGGATGGATGGATGGATGGATGGATGGATGGATGGATGGATGGATGATGGATGGATGGATGATGGATGGATGGATGGATGGATGGATGGATGGATGGATGGATGGATGGATGGATGGATGGATGGATGGATGGATGGATGGATGGATGGATGGATTGTGGTCATTTGTGGTGAAGGAGGTCTGGAAAATCGGCTGACAGTTCTAAAATAGACTCACAAGCTCTCCTCTCGTCTCTACCACTGCCCTAATGCTTATGCACAGCGCGCTTGGTCTCTATGTGGTGAAGCAGTCTTGAAGCACACCTGTTGCTGCATATTAAGCAGAGTGGCCTTGGTATGTGGGAATCACCTACCGGTCCGAGATTAATCCATTCTCCTGTCTGTTCTCTCGGCCTTTTCCCCTTCGCAAAGAAACTTTCCCAAGACATCTGATCTTATTCATTTTGCTCGTTTTTGAGTTCAAGACGTAACTGAGAGAACCCGGTTAAAAGATTTTCAAAATAATAGATCCTCTAGATTCAGATAATATATAAAATGGAAATATTTACTTGTGCGGCCCGGTACCAATTGGACTACGGCATTGGTCCGCAGGGCCAGGGGTAGGGGACAGCAGCTCTGCACCACTTCAGGCTCTCTTTTTCCCATTACTTTTATTCTTACTGGCTGGATACATCTGCATGCCAAAAAGTTTCGATTGTAAGAACATGCAAAAACCGTATCATTCAGTTTTTACTTCACAAAATTGCTTAATGTTGGTCTCCCACATAAAATCTAATTAAAATACATTGTCTATGGTTGTAATGCAACCACAATTTGTATACCGTTGCTAGACATTTTGATAGTTTTATAGTATTCTACAAAAGCAAGGAACAAAAAACAAAACACAGCTAACAAAGATTAAGCCTTGAGGATAACAGGACCTTTAGGTCAATTGCTGATTGGTTTACAGAAAGCTTAAACTAGATTGATTGCAGATTTATGTTGGCAGGTGGATAGTCAATGAACTAAAATGAACACATGAAAAGCACAGACAGCGGTTCTGCTGAACTGTTGTCATTTTCAATAAAGCAGAGAAAGTCCAACACCAACACCAACACAAGCATACACAGAAGTAGCATCAAGACAGCCAGACTCTTTCTCCTAGTTTGTTCTTTTTTTTCTGCAAAGCTTTATTGCAGTTTGAAACCATGGACCACTGTCACTGCTTGCAACTCTGGTCATATTTTATTAAACAGTGTTTTTCTGGACTTTAGAATAATTTACATTAAATGTGACAATTACCAGTTGGGGGGAAAAAAGCAGTAATCCTTTAGGTCAGCGCATTCAGTTCTTTAGAATGAGCATTCAGCACAGTGAAAAAGTTTTGTGTCCTTTTAATTTTGCATGGTTGCCACAATTTCAATTAATTTTTAGACATTGTGTAAAACAAAATAAAAACAGAAAACAATGACTTGCAAATCTTATTCAACCTATATTCTGTGTAATTTTAATATTATAATACATTTAATATTCAAACAGATCAACTTTATCACGGTTTTGCAAATATTCACTTTTTTTATTTTGATGAATAAAAATGTTCCAAATAAGTTGGGACCACTGTGTTACATTACTTTTCTCTTTAACAATTATCTGTTTGGGAACAGATACTAATTGTAGAAGTAGGTGCAATTCTTTCCCATTCTTGCTCAAGGTTTAACATCTGTTGCCCAACATCTTGGGGTCACTGCCATCGTATTTTGAGCTTCTTAATGTGCTACACTTTTTCAATGACAGGTCTGGACTGCATCCAGGCCAGTCTATTCCCACCACTTTCATCTTGCTTAGTTGGCAGCATATGTAGTTTCAACACTTGGCTGTACCTTTGAGCATTAAGTCAGACATTATAAATTAACACACAACATATAGCTTTACAGCAAAGGCACTTTCACACTATTGCACAGAGCACAGAAACAACAATAATAAACATTTCTGCTACACAGAAGTTATAATAAACATTTTTATGCTAGTGAATGACACTTATGCAGTTGACATCATTTAAACAGAAGCATGATAAACTAACAAAATGCATCACAACATCAAATTTACCATTTTATGAACGCACACTGCCAGTTGCAGTTTTCTTCTGAGCCAAAGCACTGAAGAACAATAAAAGTCTGTGACTTACTTAGAACCTGCATTATTTTTAAAACAGTTTTTCAGTAAAAAATTCCTTCTACTATTATGTGCAGTGCAATTCTTTCAAGCAAAGAAAATCACAAAAAATCCTTATTTGTATATATATTAGTAGTGGTAATAGCAGACGTAATATTATAAATGTTGAAATACATTGACCTTCTGCCAGTTTCTTATTCAGTTTGGGTATGACAATGAAAAACAGATCTACTCTGGACTAATATGATTGTACAGCTAGGGTCTGGGCCCTAGTATGTTTTTATATATAGCAGCAGCTCTGGCATGAACTGACCAGACTACCTCAGTTGGCATCAGCACTTTTTATAGATAGATAGAGAACTCCCTGGAGCAGGAGCACAACATAAGGCTTATTTTACTGAGTGTAAATGTGATCAAAGGAAATATGAAAGGTAGACGATGTGAACACATTTCTCTTCAATCACTAAAGTTTCACTTGCAGGTTCATGTCTGTTTAACTCATGCAGATGAAAGGCTGCATCCTGGACGCTTCCTATCCTGGAGGCTGTGTCTTGCCCAACGACAATGGAGCAGCGCCCCCTGCTGTCAAGGTGGCCAGTTCTGAGACTATACATCAAGTACCTGACTAACAAGCCAGCAGCTTCTACCTCTGACAAAGTCATTATCATGTAGCAGGACAGAGTGAAGGAGAAGCACAGAGTAGCTGTAGCAGCCTTATGCATACAAAGAACACTATTTTTTTCTGTTCTTCTATTTGCTTTTTGTGTTTACCGTAATCTTACTCATATTATCACAAGTTTATTGTTTACAGGCTGGAAGTGAAGAGTTTGTTATGTTGATGAGTTGAAATGAGAATGATGTCATGGTGAATTTAGGAATGTGTTCAAATGTCATTAACGTGATTCACTAGTCGATGCTGAATATCAGCTGACATGTCACAACTCAACAAGTTCAAATGAACAGAGGGAAATCTGTTGTCATATTTTAATTTCAGCAGATTTTTTGTGTGCATTTTCCTTGACGAGGCACAAAACTGAGATTTGATCAACTCAGATGATAGTTAATATCAAGAATGTACAGTGATATCTAGAAAGACTAAATTTAAAGAAACACCACTTCAATAAGCTCCAGCCGTCCCCAAACTGTGCAGTATTTGTTTTTCTACAACAGGAACATGCCTCCAGAGCCGCTGTGGACCTGTGTTCACTTCTTCCTGTCCATGTGGGATGTACAGACTGTCACTTATTTCTTGTTCCTCCTGGTAAAGATGTTTCAATCCATCTATTATTGAAACAGTATGATACTTTAGAAAAAGAAGTCTACTTTGGGAGGCACAAGTACTGATACTAAAAAGAGTCTCTTTTGAGTAAATTTAACAGAAGCATTTGGTCCTACCATCACAAATATAAACATGTACAGTTTTGTGAACTCTACTGAGACTTTAACGAGGACTGTGTCAGTCTAAGTTGGTTTAAATTGAAGCAAATTATAAATATGTGGAAAAACTCCTGAGTCCCACTGTGAAGCATGGTGGAGGACCCATGTTGCTGTGTGCTGGTTTCACTGGTGGACTCTACCAGTAAACTGGTAAAACCTCATCACTGGATTTTTGATCCACCTTTTCTGAGTCGGGCATCACACAAAAGGTTCAACAGGCAAAAATACCTTGTCAGTTGCCACCTCAGTTCTCATAGCTAAACCTTGATCTGAAGAGAAGAAAGCATCAGAGAGGGCCAAGAGGGAGGGTCAAAGGTCGCTCTCTAAACACTCCAGCCTTGTGAAGCATTAAAGGTGCAAATTAAGTGTTCTGCAAGATCCAGCAATCAGTATTATTAGCAAGACAGTAACAGTTGATCCACAGTGAATTTGTTAAAAACAATCATTTCTTCACTAGCTGTTTGTTTCTCCAAAAAATAAATGAACTCACTGGAGATTTTACAGGATTTTCTTATAGTGAGATGATGCTGCTGAAATATACCTCCAATTTTACACATCTTTACTAGCATTACAACTTTATAAATCACTCATAGCAGGGAAGTATATCTACCATGATGATGGAACTTAGATCTATAATCCTAGACGCTGCTCAGATACAGAGGATTCATATCAGTTGATTAAGGTTTTCTATGTATTTGCAGGGTAACATTGTTCCCTAGAAATGCTGCTGAATGTAGAAACTAGCATCTGACAAATTCAGATAGGTTTCTGCCATCTTCATTCTAAACAAACCATTCAAGATATTTATCTGGTAAGCCCTTCCATCACACGGTGAGAATGTCATGTTTTAGCAGTAAGAATATTCTCTAAATTTTAGAAATATGGATGGAGAAAATGCTGAATAGAAATACTGAGCACTTTATTTCAAGCGGTCACTAAATGCAGATGTTATAATGCTGAGTTTCTTTTGGAAAACATCTGTTCCAGTGTTTTACTTTTCTTCTTCAGCGGTTGCAATTAAATCAGGTGAAAATGTTCAGGTCCACAGTACTGAAGAGCCCTTAGAAAATGGTAAGATGTAATAAACCAAATAGTGAACATAGAGTTGATACCTTATATTTACATCCACAGCATAAAAAAGACAGAACCTTTTTCCCCCTGTGTCTGACATTAATCAGATCAAATGTTACTGTGTAGGTCAATAAGGGTTACCAAAATTACATATTTGCTAAATGCCAGAATTCTGAGATCATTTTTCTTTTATTTTCTAAAACTTCCTGCAGTTTGAATTACCCTTTGAACCCTAACTTGGGTCAATGGTGTTGGGTTTCCTTTCAGAAACTTCTCACAACAGTTTTCTGGAGTTTTGGTTCATTCTTCCTGCTAGAACTGGTGGAACTGGGTCAGGTTTGTTAGCTGCTTTGCTCTCACACACTTGTTTAGATATACCCACAACTTTCACCCCATAAGTCTATAGGACTCCTTTCATTGTGGATAATAGTGTGGTTTTCAGCTTCAGCCAACATGTTGACAAAGTCTTTCCTCCTCTGCTGTGGAGCTGATCCACACATTTCACATCAAAACATGTTTGTCTCTAGAACACAGAACTTGCTTCATGACATGTCATTTGCATGGTGTTTATTGTTCTGTATATTTGTGTTAAAAGAAGAAATTAAATCTTTGAGCTTCTCTGGATTGTACCCAAATGAACCAGACTTAATGAGGTCCACAATTCTATTCTGTGGTTTCACCGGGTGTTTGAGGTGTGAATTACTGCAGTTTAACTGAAATGTTGTAAACTAAACTATGGGAATCTCATGAAGCTGTGGCATCATTGTCTGGAAAAGTAAGTTCAGGAGAAGTGAAGTTCTGACTTCAAAGAAAGGTGATATATTTCTATACTTTCTCACTGTTCTGTTATTTTACACATTGAAACATTCTTGGTGACCTTAACTGACCCAAAACGGTTTCAATGTCACACTGTGAGGAGAAAAGAAAGTTCTTCATCTTTTTGTACAGTCTATGTCAGTGTCAGATTTGTAGATGGATGCTGGAGGGAAGCAGCTCTGAATGTCTGGGAAAACCCAGGAAAATGACTGAAACATGGAGCTGAGGAGAATTATTCAGGTTAGCGAAAGATGCTAAAAGAGATTTCCTCTAAGTAATTCAGTTAATAATAATGACATGCATTAACAGCATTATTATTGTTTCTAATGAGATGGTACACATACGTAGATGTTAGCAATTCTGTTTTTGTCAGTTTGCTAGAGTTATGTGAAATTCTAATAATGTGAAAAAATTTGTATATTAAGAAGTTACTGGTATGTACATAATTTTATGTTGAGTCTCAATTGGAGCTCAATTTTTTTTGACTATCTCAAAGTCATCATTTGTTTTGTATTTGTAAAAGTTTTCATGATGAAACTGATTCTGTGACAGCCTGAAAACAGTGCCATACAGCAGAGCTTTGTGTCAGTAGGCTGAGTTATAGAGTCTGCATCTTTTGTAGCCACAGAAAGTTTCAAATGAAAGTGCAGTGGATCATTACTGTGATCACTCTGCTCTCTTTTTCATTTTTCCTCTTGGACTAAAATCATCTTTGCAGCTGCGGGACTGCTCACTCATACTTCACCATCTCTGAATGCTCCTGTTTTTTGTTCACGTGACTGAAGCAGCAGGAGTCTCCATCCACTGTCAGACTCCTTGCTATGGATCCCTGAAATTAAAAGGTGCTATGTGTCCCAGCATCAATAAATCATTACCACATGAACTGAATAAAGTCTCTGCTGTGTATCTGAAATCAACAGCTTTTTACCCCCTGACATGGCTGAAAAAGACAATAGAATGTTCCCATGAAATGAAAACAACCCCATTACTTGCATTGTTTAAAGCTGACCTTAACATCTTTCCTTGCAGTGCTGTGTCTCTCACTTTGGGTTCTTGTTAGCTTCCCACCCCTCCATCTGTTGTGAACAGAATCTGCTTCACTTTATGTTCTGTGATCAGCAGCTGGAAGAACGGAGAAGCTGCCACACAGAAGGACTTGCAGTCATAACATGAGGTCTGCCAGCCTGTCACTGGCATTTACACTGACACAGAGTGAACACAAATACTGCTTCTCCACTGTGGAGCTTATCTGTGAAAGATATTTTGTAAAGAACATGCTCCAGACTCAGAGATGTGGGAGCAAAAATCCTTCAGTTCTTTGGACCCAAATGTGAAATCATAAAAGAATGAAAATAGAATTTTCTGCTAATATCAGCAGAAGGTCAGATGCAGGTACAGTACATTGTAATCTCTGTATTTTGACATTAACATTGGACAGAAGGTGGAACTCAGTCATATTAATGGAACATTCAGAAGAATGCGGAGAGCTTTTCAATCTACTGACTTATTAACATACTTTCTTCATGACTTGTAGGTCTACAGTTGGGCAAGGCTCTTTCCATTTCCAGATGATATATTGAACAGTGAGATGTTCAAAACCTGTGAAATCTTTTTGTAGCCTAAGTCTGTTTTAAATTTCTCCATGGCTCCTTCCTGACCTGCCATCTGTGTTCCTAGGACATCATGATGCTGTTTTGTACCCAATATTCTCTGAGGCGTCACAAATCAGCTGGATTTTCACTGACATTAGATCACACACAGCTGGACTCTGGTTAGTCATTACCAGTTACCAGGGAACTTTTGAAGGAAACTGATTGCACTCAGAGAAGTGGGGGCTGAATATTTTACTTTTTAGTTTTTTTGTATTTTAAAAAATGTTTTGAGTCAAGTATAGTTTTCTCCATTCTTCAGAATTGTATGATACTTTGTGATGACATTTCACATGAAATTCTAATGAAATATATTTATGTGTTTTGGTTTATGGTAAAGTTCAAGAGGTATGGGTACTTTTGCAAGCCACTGTATGATCCACACATGGCTCACATGGAAGACCTACATTTATTACATTTCAGCCCAATTATGAATTGTTGTGCTATTTTGTGTGCTAAATACCTACATTTATCTATGAAACATGTAGATGAACAAACCACATAATTTAGAATTTTCTTGACAGCAATAACATTATTATATCATTCAATAAGTTATATAAATAAAAATACGGTAAGATATTAAAAGCCTGCTACTTAAGAAAAAGGCTTTACATTTACATGTAACCTTGTAATTATCAAGGATGACAAGTGCTGTTGATTTATGATGTCATGGAACAGTTTTAAGATTAAAACCATTCTTAGTGGTCCAGGGCGCCCCCTTCTGGTAATTCACGTGATTGGCGAAAAGCATCCGGACTTTCTTGTGTACAGTAGACAACATGGTACTGACATTGCAGACGGCAACCAAACCTGAGTATAAATACTCCGGATTTATATTATACAAACATATTCACGTAGATAAAATAATCATGCTTTGTTTTTGGTTTTTTGTTTGTATATTTGTTTGTTCAAAGAAAGATTGTCATAAATGACATGAGGCTGAAGATTAGGAATGTTATATCAGAAAAAAATGAAGGAGAGCAGACTGGGCACCCTAAGGAAAAAAGAGCACATTTCCAGGACAGCAGTGTTTTAATATAAAACATGAGATAATACAGAGACTCTGTGCCTGAGGGATGTAATTGTACATGCAACATTCAGCATGGAGACATGAGCTGTGGACTGCAGACATAATTAGATAAGTCACCAATAGGAGCCAGTCTGAAGCAGCAGGCAGAGGGGCAGCAGCCAGGAACGGATGAATCATAACCTTCATAGACACTGACCACGTCATCTATAGAAAGTTTCTGGAAATCTGACTGACCGTCATGTCTTCAGGGAGCAGCGATTTACTGACACCCAGTGGGCAAGTTGGAGACAGCAACCATCTCAAAGGATCTGCAGCGCCCCCTAACGTGAGATAGGCAAACGATGCATCATAGAGATCTGAAATTCGGTAATCATCAAGAGAGGTATGCCCTAAAATGAACAGGGAGATGGCCATTATGGGTCAAAGGACAAATTTTGGCCATTTTTCACATTTGAAGTGATCAAAATCATGAGTTTTTGAGCATGTTTTGGGTGTTGCCAGGTGGCAAACTTGGCATACTTGCAAAACAACACACTATAACTTTCACATGTCCACCTCGGATATGTGGACATTGTAGAGTTCTAGCTTGTAGATACAGCGATGTTTTGACGTGGTGCCACCTGAAGGGTCAAAGATAACAGTAGCTTAATGTTGATTTTTTCTTCAAGGTTTTAACACATCAAACTACTAATTTTGATGTCAGACAAAAATCCGTCTATCCATCGTCGTACACACTTTTTTTTGGGAGGTCTTCAGGGGTACTGGTTCCTTTCTCCAGGGGTCAATGTGCGACAGGTGGAGTCACCCTGGACAGGTTGCCCGCCCGTCACAGTTCAGACAAAAATAAATACAACAGTAAAACACAAAAATCAACTTTCAAATGATATTTTCATGTATTAGGAGAATGAAGCCACCCAGCCCTATGTGAAAGTATGAGTCCACTTTTTTCATTTTGGTTCAGTTTCACTTGGTGCACCCTCGTCTCATTGCTAAATAATCCAAAAACACACAGATAAGTCCACCTCTGAATGGCTCATGAAGGTTTTAGAGAGGCCTACTCAAAGTTTAGTTTTAAGTCTTGTTGAGATGCTGTTCTGTGAACTTAAATAGGCTTTAAATCTCTCGAGTATGGTTGGATAAAAAATAATTCTGCACATTAGAGAAGTTTAAAATTCTTCCTCACTGATGTAAAATACTCATGACCAATTTTCACAAACTCTTGATGATAGTTGTTACAATCAAGGGTGACATAACCAATAATTGCCTCACTGCTTTCCTTGGGATCTGTGTGTTAATGATGGCAAGCATTTCATTCAGCTGAAATGATTAATGAGCTGTCAAGTGGCAAAATTAACCAGATGGGGGTTATTTTCCATTCTTTAATGATTTTCAGTCTCATTAAACCAGAGGGTTCTTAATGGTTACACGCTCTATGGACATCGAATGACAGGGTTTTGTTCAGAAAATGTAATTCTCAATTGGTGCTCACATGTTTCATGTTCAAGTGGTAAACTCCACAGAACATAGAATAAGTTGAGTTGTTTCCATTCATTTTATATGTAAAAATGAATGGAAGTGTAACCTGGTTGAATTGTTCTTCTGTTATAATTACTCAAAATGTTTTTCTTTGGTTATTTGTATGGGTTCCTACCTGACTGAAAATCTCTGTCATTGTTTTAACTGTTACTTTAAGAACGGAAGCCCCTCCCCTTTTGTTTCTTCCTCTGTGGTATTGTCTTTAAAATGTTTGGGTCCCTTAGACCCTCCCCTTTTGTCATGTTGTCCTGTGGGAGAGATGTGTATTATTTATTTTGTATCTGAATACATCCAGTTTATTTATAGATTTATTAAGTTAATTTCTGTTATGTACTTTTGTCTATGTAGGGCTTGGAGCGGGCAGCCTGTAACACAGTTATTTTCTACTTGTTATTCTTGTCAGAATAAACCCTTTTAAAGGTGAACCACGGCCTGATCATTTAAAACCAGCACAACGCAGATCGGATCCAGTTACAGAAGCAATATGAAAGGAAATATGAATTTCCTTTTCTTTATTATTATTTTAAAACTGACACATACCTACTTTACAAATTTGATTAATTTAGTGATAATGTATTGTGAAGCATCTTTACTAATAGAGCTGAACATTGGTGCAGTTGTTTACACTGCTGCTTTACAGCAGGAAGTTTTGGGTCACTCATCCTGGCTGTGGTTCTCCCTGCATGGGGTAAGGCTCATTAAACACACTCAACTACATGAAATATATTGTCCACTAGGTGGCAGCACCACACAGCCAAAGCACTGTTGTTATACGAGGAAAATGCTGATTTTCACGAAGACGCCTCTCTCTTTTTGTACTAACGTTGATAAGGTTGAATGAACTCACTCTATCCACACACACACATCCACACAGCTGATCTGAGGTTGGAGGAGATTAAATGGATTCAGACTTGGCTACAATAACATGATTGTTAGTCCTGCTCATCCTCTTTTTAGTTTAGTTGGCTAATGTTTCATAGACAAAACTACACAGTCAACTCCGCTGCTCAAAAACATTTTTCTTACAAATGTGGCACAATTTAAAAACAGAGACACAGGCTTCCCAACAAAATGTTTTTTTTTTGTTTGTTTTTTTTTATAAAAAGCATTGTTGCAACAAAAATCTAATAAATGGTAAAATGGTAAATGGCTTGTATTTGTAGCACTTCACACTATAGTCATCATTCACACACTGATGGTGGATAGTAGCAGCAGCTGGCCTGGGGCAGTCTGAAAGAAGCAAGGCTGCCATGCAGTGGCGGCACCAGCAGCAGCAACAGGCGGGTGAAATGTCTAACCCAAGAACAAGGGCAGAATTAGACAGAGAGGGAATTGAACCGATTGTGGGACGAACTCCTACCACTCTCACCACCATCGTCCAACCAAAATCAAAACATAAACCAAACATGGCCTTGTTTATTTCTAACTGCACCAAATTAACATGAGGATTAAATTGGGAGAAGATCAAATTGAAATAATATTTTCTCCCAGATCATGTTTACTATGCATGGAATAATGAAATAAGATGCAGAGGAGACCACAGTGGAACATTGGAAACAGGGAGCATATTTTGGGTGTAAGAATTTGATGGGAGCACAGATTAACCCTTCAATTTTATAAAGAAATTATTGTATCTGTCAATGTGGCGTATCGGCAGACTTTCCTAATATCTGTTTAGAAAATATTGTGAAACTTTTAAAGCATAATTTTTTTTACAAAGTTACCAGACTGTTGTAGAGCAGCAGATTCACTGCTCTTTTCTTATAGTAGCCTACCATTTTGGTTTAAAATTTTCTTATACAAAATATACTTTTTTTGGCTCCAGGGGCCTTTTTTTGATAGGGAATTGACAAGAAGGTGGATTATGAGAGAGAGATAAAACATGCGGTAAAGGCCAGCTGGATGGGACTCGAAGCAGTCACAGTGGTGTCAAGGACTGAGGCCAGATGGGTGGCCACTGCCACGCCCCTATAAAATACTTTTTGACAGGAATTTAATTGATGTAGGGGCAAAACATGTTTCAGGTAACCAATCAGCTTTATCTGTAGAAATGATTGTCTTCAGTATGAAAGAATTAGTCCAAACAGTTACTTTTTCCATGATTTGTTATTTTTTATATTTGAACTTCAGGATTCAACGACCTGGATCCTGGTTTTAAATCGTTTGAGGTTCAGACCCAAAGATTAAATAGATGAAGCTTCTTAAGTGTCAAGCAAATGAATGGACCAATTTTAGGGTACTTTCTTTGGTTTCTGGTCTAAACATAATGGCTTCTTTTATCATGTTTTTAATGTGCAGCACTTTAGTCTGAGCTACTGCTCACTTAATCTCAACACAAGCTAGCTGCCCAGACATTTTTGAAAATCCCTTGTTTCCCTAAGCAGGTGTTTAGCTAATTTGCTTGCATGTACATAATGTTACACATATGCAGACCAGTGATGGCTGTGGAAATGAAAGGATTTGCAAGGAGCTGCCATGCATAGAATGCTAGGAATGAGCAGGTGGAGTAGTGGGTTAACAGTGGCAGAACAACAGCGGACTCAGAAGATGCCTCATAGAGGCATTAGACAGCACATGATAGATTTTGACAGGAACTATATTGTGTGCTTAAATGAAGTGCAGTGAGAGGGTGCTGTAAATGCCTGGAATGTGGCGCATAAAGATGCCACAGTGGCCAGCTGTGGGAGAAAATGAGTGTCCACACCAGTCATTCTGCACTGTTGTAAAGATGCAGGACAATTAACTTTCCATTTCTGGAATTATTATTTTGACAGGACAAACGGGAGAGTATTTGAGACCTTTCATGAATTAACTTTCCCTTTTCTACTACTGTTATTTAAGTTCAATAAAGGTAATCAAATTTCTGACCTTTAGATGTTTTTTGTGATAGGTTTATTAAATTCAAACAATTTATGTCTACAAAATATTTTGGTAACATATTAACAAAATGTCTATGCATTTTTCCTAAATAAAGTGCAAAAACTTATCAAAATATCATTTGAGAGTAAATCTAAATAATCCTTTTTGAAGTAGAGTTGAGAAACTACAATACATAAGTAAACAAAATTTCAATCTGAAACTAAAGTTTCAATCCAACCAGGATAACATCGATCCCATATTGATACCAACTCGGTATCAATATTATTATTTGGGAGAGCTGGAGTCCTAATTCAGTTTTCATCAGTTAATATAACCCGCCATCATGCCCCAGTTTAGCTATGGTTAATGGTTATTAATATTTATTGTTAATAGATAGATGCTTTCCTCTTAGTCAGAGATTAAAACCTTTGTTAAACAGCACAGATGATGCGTTGCCAATAAAGGTCAATGAATTGAAAAGGGAGCGACAGAAGAGTGAGCAGGAGGAGGGAGGGGAGGTACAGGAGGAGGGAGGGGAGGTACAGGAGGAGGGAGGGGAGGCACAGAGACCCTGGCGGACAGCAGAGGGAGGTTGGACCGGGAACAATAGAGAGGAACGAAGCCAGCCTTGAAACAGCAACAAACCGAGAGGGCGACGGAAAGAAAGGAGCCCAGAGGGGCTGATGGAGGGAGAGGTGCACACGGAGGACATGTGAAGAACACAAAGGTCGGGGCTTCGCTTTCTCTCTTTATTATCGGTGGATCGGATTAAACCGGATTCCGGCATGAACCCCGCAGAAGCGGCCGAGGAGGCGCCCAGTGACCCCGACACCGATGCCTTCTACAAAACAGGTAAGGAGAACGGCTGCGGATCATCCGCAATCTGCAACAACAAAAGCATCAGATCGGGCTGGTTTTACCAGAAGCTCCTGGAGGAGCGTCTGGAGCCGGACCGGAGCCGGACCGGAGCCGGACCGGAGCCGGACCGGAGCCGGAGCCTGGGCAGGGGCTCCGGGATGCAGAGGGGAGCGGAGAGCCGCTCCGGGCACCGGTGGAGGAGATCAGCCCTCCACACACAAACACACAATCCTGATTCACAACGCTTACACACATGTAAACCTGGAGGTGTGTGTTTGGTTCTGTGTTGGTGAGAGCTGATGCTGCTGATGGTCTCTGCTGGAGGAACTGGAATCATGGAGGAGTGACATCACAGAAGCAGCTGAAAATGTCAGGAAATACAGTCCAACATGCAGCTTCAATCTTCTCTCTGTTGTGTGTGCTTGTGTATGAGAGAGAGAGAGAGGTGTGTGTGTGTTTATATTCTGTTCTTCAAGAAATAGAACACACATGATGTCTGATTTTACCAATCTGACATCAGACTGTTCCAGGGAGGATGAGGAGGAGGAGGAAGAAGAGGGTGTGTGATGATGGAGGCAGTGAGATGAATCCTCTCTGGTCCTGATAACTTGGGTCGTCAGTAGGTTCCTCCTCCTTCCTGCTGCTTTTTGTGTCCAAAGGTGTGGAAAAGGAGAGAAGCTGGGGGGTGAGGGTGGTGCTGCAGGAGAAGCTGCTACCACATGATGTCTTGTGGCTCCGCAGCCAGACTCAGATAAATCATTTAGCAGAGAATCCATTTCATTGATTGAGTCCGTCAGAAAGCAGATTTTCAGAGTTCTCTCTGTTCCACTTGCTTCCAAAAAAGCTGCTCGTTTTCACGTGAGATTCTTTTCCCACCTTCAAATTCAGTGATAAATAATTAATGATGAGGGAACAATGTTGTAAAAGACAAATTTCAGTGAAACAGGCAGAGGGTGTTGATGAGTTCAGGTGATGGGATTATGCACAGCAGTAAGGGAGCGTGACACACCCTGAACCTGCTGAGAAGCTCCTGATGAGGAGAGGTGTCTGCAGAGCTGTCTGAGTGAACACAGCAGAAATGTAAGCTTGTCTCTCTCTTTTCGCTCCTTCACGGTTGTTGTCTGTCAGCTGGCCCGCTTCATACAGACAGACAGACAGATATGAAGTCTGTTGGTTGACTCACATGTAGGCTGAGAAAATTGAGTTGTGCTCAAAGGTGAACTCAGTGAGCTTCTGAAGAACTGGTGCTGTTTGGCATTCACAGTTTTATGTCTATATAATAATAATACATACAATTTTCATAGCTCTTTTTCAGACTCTAAGAGAAGTTTTACAAGATATTTTTTCTATGTACATGCACAATAGATAAAAGGAAGATTATCATTTTGATTTCAAGCAGAATTTATCTCTCATCCAGCAGCAGAACGTTTTGAACTGGGTATTTAGATGACGCTGTGCTTGTAACACAGCATCTACTTTGAGTTATTTTTTTCTCTTGGCTTTGTTTGTTTTCTTATATCTTATCTTTGCATTTTATTCTTTGAGTTAATTCCTCTATACTAATCATTTGTGTTTTGGATTTATTCAGTTAGATTAACATTTAACATTAATGTATTTATTTATGCTGCCATTCAGGTTTACTTTCCCCTTCATTCTATTCTGCTCCACATCTCAGCTGTTAATAATCTCATTTTCTTCTACCTGCTCATTCCCCAGCTGCATACATGTACTTAGTGTTCCTGGTTCCTTGGTCATTTCCACTTCATCCTCAGTATACTAAGATCTCCAGTCTCATCATTTCCCACTAGCTCCTTGCATTGATCTCAGATTTTCTCTGCTGCAGCTTCTCCTTTCTGTATGTATAAGCTCATGTTTTGTCTTCTAATACACTTCAGTAAACTCTCCACATGGGGTTCTGATGATCTAATACTTTATATCGATACAAACAGTGATCAAACTTACTTGTAAAGATAGTTATCAAAACATGAGATAACTAATGTTATTAGCTGTGGACACCACAGCTACTTTGGACATTCCTCTGAAATGTCTCCAGTACCAGATCCAAGTGTCCTTTTTGCCCCACAGTCAGCTGACAGTCCTTAAAATAAAAATGGGAGCTTATAGGAGGGAGATGGGATAATGTTTATCCACCAGCATCACATCTGTTATCTCGAAGCAAAAAGGACTTAGCGATTTAACACAAAGCAAAGACAGAAGCAGAGGCCCAGTCTGAAGGTGCCAACAGAGCGGAACCACCAGATGATTCTCCTGTAACAACCTAATCCATGAAATGCATTAATCAGCAGAATCTGATGCAGGGCGAAGCATGCTTAGGATGGCACACAAAGGCTTTTTCTGAAGTTAAAGCACTAAAGACATTTGGACAGTCTGCCTGAGAAGCATGACTCAGAAATTGGCTAGAAATAGAAGAAACTACTAACAAGTTTTATCAAGGTGCCATTGAATCAATTTAAATTTTTTTGTTTTTGTTTTTCTCCTTTTCTTTTACTTTTCTTAGTTCCATTTTTTTCATTCTAACTGTATTTATTATCCCAAAAAGTGTGTTATTATCCACAACAAATAAATAAAGTCTATTCATTGTGTGTAAAATATACACAATGAATATTGTGTATATTTTTTGTGATTTGAAATGTGTGCGTTTCAAATCTGAAACGCACACATTTCAGATTTGAAAAGAAGAAAATTTTCCTCTCATAACACAAAGATATTTAATGTTTTGTTGGAATGGTGGCGATGGTGGTAAGAGTTGGTCCCACTGGTTCGATTCCCGCTCTTTGGGCAGTTCACCTCACTGACCCCGCCTGCTCATTGTTGTCAGAGCAGTAGTATTTACTGTCAGTGTGTGAATGAATGAATAACTGAATGTAGTATGAAGTGGTTTGGGGTAATCTGGACTTGATAAAGTGCTGTACAAGTACAGACCATTTACCATCCATAAGCACCTGAATGCTGCTGCTGCTCCCTCTTTAATAACTAGCTTGTATTTTTGCTCTCCCATTTGTCTGATAACTTTGTAATGCGTCTTTTCATTTTTCCCCGGGCCATCAGACTGCTTAACGCCACATAACACCCCTCCACACACACACACACACACACTCACACACACTCACAAACCAAACCAGCCCCCCATGGACATGGTCAATACACACACTTTAGTTTAGTTTTGTTTACAACACTGAACTTGTGTATTCTATGGCACTTGTATTTGTTTATTGTGTAGTTTAAGGTTTTAGCTCTGCTACACTGGTAGCCAAGTAACGACATTCTGTTGTCAAGATTCACCTTGTGTTTTTTTTGTACAATGACAATAAAGGAAGTCTAAGTCTCCTCATGTATCTTAATATCCATTCTAATTAGATACTTCAAGTATTTGCTAAATATAAGTTACCTCTGAATTGGTTCAGCCAAACTCATCTTGTGTGTCACAGTTTGATTTGGAAATAAAAGTCCCTCCACTGTGTTAGTATAAAACCATGAGGAGGTAAAGTAAAAATGAATCTGAACCTCAGTTAGTTAGATCTTAATACTGTCTGAATCACACATTGTCTATCAGCTGAAAATACAAGAAAATATTGCACAGCATGGCACTACTCAGGTGATGTCTGTTAGTCTATTAGACTGTCTGTTGTGAGAAGCTTCCATTTACAGAAACGTCACCCGATTGATTATCTCCTTTCTCACCTGAGCTGTAAACTCAAACTCATTTATTAAACTGTGTATATCCCAGATGGTGTAAAAACTTAAGTCCTGAATAATTTTTTAAAATCACAGTGTGTGTGTGACTAGTCAGACAAATTCTTGCACTGGCATTTTGCAGAAAATAAAACCTGAATTCAGAAAATTCATACTGTCATCAGCAACTTATTCAGTTGCCAGTGAAATACAGGCTCTATGTCAAAGAAAGGTCATGTTGGTATTAAGTGTAACTACTGAACAAATAACAGCAGGAAAACGCCATCACTGATATCTGAAAACCCAGCCTTTTCCCAGGAAGCGCTTAGTCTCATGCTAATCAGTCGCATGTAAATAGTGTTCCAAATAATCAGGAGGAAACAGGAAGTGACATCAATGCATGGATTCTACGATGCGAGCAATCAGAGAGTATTAATCAGAGCAGCTGTCTGTCAGTAGCTGCTGCTTTTGTTTCGCTCCCAGAAACCTGAATTCTTATTCTGTGAACAAAACAGCAGAAATCAGTAGAGCAATTGTGGTGTTTGTTAAAAGCAGACAGGCATGCTGGGAGATTCAGACTACTTTTTCAGCTAGTGGTGTTACAGCTGCAATGCTAAACATGTCAGCGTCTTGCTGACTGCTGTCAACCTCCTCTCTGTAGGATCCAGCCGGAGAAACCGCCGTTTCCCGCTTCGCTCGGTCTGTGCACCATGTGTGTTCCTTTTATTCCAACAGTAAATGGTGAATTGACACTAGCTGAGTGTACAAGTGGGTAATTAGGCATAATTTTCATGACTAATCTGCAAAAAGTCATGAGTAATATCTGTTGCCATGGGGATGATTAGTAGAGAAAAATGGTGGCAGCTCCAGCAGCTACTCAGTCAGTTTTACTCTACTGAAAGTCGAAGATATCATCTTGATGCTTGGAGCTGCATGCAGAGAAAGAGGACTGGGCTGAAAGTTTCTCAACGCAAACTGAGCATCTTGACTGTGACATGAATACATACCATGCAGATGGCTTTTTAAATGCTTTTAAAAAACCTTAACAACTCCTGTAGTTAAAATGCAGATTTGATTACACAGCTGTACAAACTACAGACAGTGTTTAGAACTGGTAATTAAAAGAAAATGTCGTTACGTCCAGTGACTGCAGGCGACTGAGGATGGCAAGCTGGTGAAGATGGTTTGGATGGACAGAAAATTACAGCTGCTTCAGAAAATTGCTCTGTTGCCTGCAGGAGGCATAACGGGTGGAGAGGGTTTCTTATGCAATGCAAGCTTTTGTTCTGTTGCTTGGTGAT